GTGGGGGGGGGGGGGGGGGAATTAGCAAATTCATTTGTTCAATGCCGCCAAAAAACTGGAATTATCTGTCTTCTGATCCCACATCCTTTATCTTCGATTTCAAAGGATAACAACTGGATCGATTCATCTTTCCATCCGTCTCTATCTCTTCCTTGTTTACTATGTGTGTCCTAGACAACATCCTCTTCTTCTTCCCCTTCTTCCCTGCCTTCCCCCTCTATTGTCTCTGCCATCCCTTCCTCTTCTCCTGTGGCGCGTTCGTGGTGTAATGGTCAGCATGGATGCCTTCCAAGCATTCGACGGGGGTTCGATTCCCCCCGAACGCAGAACTCTTTTTTTCAGTTTTTCTGAAATAGTGAAAATGCGCTCTAATGTTAATTTTTAAAGGAATATGGGAATTCTTAAAATCAGCCTGGAGATTCATCAAGTTCCAACAAAAATGGAGATATAGCGAGCTTTTCTGACGATTATTATTTTCAGATCTTTTAAATAATTAAGATTTTCAAAATAAAATATTTATTGGGATTTAATTAAAAAAACAAATCGTCATCCAGGCTGTTGAAGGTTTTTTGTTCTGCTAAATTGATGTGACTGCGCTCTAATGTTAAGGTTTCAAGGGAAGACACGATATGTACCGGTTTCGATCTCTCATGAGATTATGAAGAAAATACTATGTTCCTTTAAACTACAAAATATCGCTTTTGGTTAAAAAAGGAAACATTTGAAAATAGCGCATTATAAATGTTGATAGAAGTATTAATGGCAATATAGCCTTTCCTAGAAGCATATGCGCTTTTTTGGTACCCTTCAAATATTACAAGGACCCAAGACATCCGCACAGCAATACAAAAACAGTTTTTAAGAGATTATTAGTTTATTATGTACAGAAAATTATGAAAAGTAGACATAAAAACGAGAAATTAATAAAAATATTTGCTGGGGTAAATTCCAAACATCAGAAGACCTCGCGCGTCGCTGTGGTCGTCTGGAAGATCAAAAGCTCGAAGCATCATGTCAAAATTAAACATTTTTAAAGGCAATATTGTTGTGAAGGATGGAACGAGCAACTGGCAACAAAATGAGTTTTTAGTGGACCCATGCATTGTAACTGGCAGAGGATCTGTCGTCACAATCACCATGGCCCAATCAACTAACCGTGTAGAGAATGAAGAGCTCATGTTTAATAAAAAATAATTTCTCAATTTTGGTAATCGTTGATAAATTGTATTTGAGTTATAGAATTTTTAATAAATGATTGACAGCTAATTACCGTGCCCTTTTGTCATTCAGTATGTGAAGAAGGTTTTACTTATAAACGGAGGTAATACTGTCAATATAATAAATCTAGATAACATCTGAAAGCACTAACCATAGGGCGCACTTGCTCCTGGGAAGAAAACGTCGGTGTACTTCCTTCCCAGAAGTATACGGAGGTAAAGACAGAATATGACCGTAGTCCCACCTGGTTTTGCTGGGACCATGATGACAAAACGGATGTCACAGACAGACTCCGCCCCTTCTTCCCAGATTCTGTATATAAGGACCCAATATCATCAGTATAGTTACCCGATTACAGTGTCTTTTAATAGACATCAATCGATAACTATGGCCCCAAACACCGCCATTTCTGCCCAAGGACCTTCAACCATCATCGACTGGACTCAACTTCTCAATGAAGAAGCCAACGAATGGACCGGTAAGGCACCAAAGAAGACATCTAGAAAGAATAACTCCAGTGCTCCCTATCCTGCCTCTGATCCGTCTGCTACTATGGTCAAGAATAGAAGTCAGAACATCACCAACGTCGGTAAACCCAAACGGACCAGAAAATCAGCTGAGAAACCAAAGGAACCAGTCAATGAACCCGAGAAGATCGTTCCAGAAGAACCAGAAGCTCCAGAATTTCCTGAGAAGAAGAAGAAGATCAAGAGGATTCCAATCCCCAAGAACGAGACGGCGGCCGACATGATGCTTCGAGCTTTTGATCTTCCAGACGACGACAGCGACGCCCGAGGTCTACTGATGTTCGGCATTTACCCCAGCAAATATTTTTATTAATTTCTCGTTTTTATGTCTACTTTTCATAATTTTCTGTACATAATAAACTAATAATCTCTTAAAAACTGTTTTTGTATTGCTGTGCATGTACCTGAGGAACCGAAAAGTTGTCAATAGAGCGCATTCGCTTCTGGCAAAGCATATTGTTTCCATGACTAGATCTACGACATTCAGAACAATATATTTTCAAATGTTCTATCTTAGTTCACCTGAAATTTATTTTTTCGCTATTCTGAAAATATCCAGTAATACTAATTTTCCACGGGGATCCAAATTTCATTGGTAACACTCTAATAGAAGAACCCGTCACTTTCAACTTTGAGCCAATTTATCTCCCTTCCTGTGAAGGATATCAAAAAGTTGTCGACTGTCAAAATGTTTATCATAATATTAAAAATATTTTGTTAGTTGATTATTTTTTGGAATCTTTCACATGAATTGAGATATATGAATTCATAGTTACTGTACATTAGCGCTCTGTCAGACAAAAAATTCAGCAGATTGAATTTTAATGAAACGCTGAACTAGCAAAATGGTCGTGCAATGAACAAAATGCGCCAGGAATAAAACTACAATAACAATGTAATTGTAAAATTTGGAAATTATAAGAGAGAAGCAGAGGCACAGATTTAAATTGATGAGATGCCCATTTATCAATTTAAAGGTGGGGGACAGGAGATTTTTCGTAGGATTTTTGTAGCTAGGGTAGGCATTCTACCGTGACGGTGTACAACGCTTAATGTCACTCTGCGTACAGCTGTCGTCCTCACCTTTATGTATGCAATCGGGCGTACGCTTTCTCTTTGCCCGCGTGGCTCAGTCGGTAGCGGCGCCGCATCCTCAATCATCGCCCCCACAAGTTCAACTCCTCGAGGGGCGTATAAAAATGGAATTTCGAAAACATTATTTTTTTCATGTCTCCCCACCTTTAACAAGTTCATTGTTGTTCATTCCGAATAAAGATAAACGACCGTTTGTCATATTCCATCAACTTTAAATTTTCGACTTTTTTATTCTGATATCTTGAGTCTACTAATTGGCTGTAAAATTTTTATTTTCAATTTTGACAAATCAAGAAAGATGATGATGATCCTTATGTGGCCCTCTAGCCTTCACATGATGCATCGATCAAAGTGAAAAGGATTGTCAGACAGGTGAGTTAAATTTGTCAGATTCAGTACTAGAAATAGCATTTTTGACTTTTCAGGGGAAAATAGTCAAATTTGTTTCTTTTCAATTCCCACTCTAATATAATGTCTCCTAACTTTGAGCCCATATATCTCGTTTCATGTGGAAGATGATAAAAAGTGTTCAACTGACAAAACGATTGTCATGAAATTAAAATTATTTTGTTAGTTGACCACTTTTTGCTATGTTTCACAGGAAACGAGATAAATTCACTCAAAGTTGAAAGTTAAAGGTTCTATCAGAATTTTACAGTAGTCATGGACCGCTAATCACATCAACGTTCTAACATTTTGCAGCGTAATGTCCAAGAGACCAGCACCAGAATGCATGACGTCCCAAATCATTGACAACTCCGTGAGAATGGCAGTAACATTTCAAATGAAGGAATTTACGGACAAGGCAGCCTTGTATAAGAGACCAGTTCGCCAGATGAGGTGCAAATTCTGCTACCAAGAACACGATACCGCGGACTGCTCAACCATCCCGCAAGACGAGAAAATTGCCACAGCCATCCAAGAAAGACTCTGTCTTACATGCCTCACGCGTGCTTTTCACATACCGGTGAATTGCGGAAGACTGAAGCAGAATCACCTCTTGTGCCAAAACAAGACTTGCGGCAAAAAGTAAGAACTTCAATTCATTCTGATCAATATACACCAAATCATTCCAGCCGCGAGTATCACCACGCATCTATCTGCAACAAAACCGAAACAACGAACTCAGGCACAGGATCCAAAATCCCACTGGTCGACATTAATTTGTATTCCTTATATTCTTTAAAGGTGGGGGGACAGGAGATTTTTCGTAGTTTTTTTGTAGCTAGAGTATGCATTCTACCGTGACGGTGTACAACGCTTAATGTCACTCTGCGTACAGCTGTCGTCCTCGTCTTTATGTATGCAATCGGGCGTGCGCTTTATCTTTGCCCGCGTGGCTCAGTCGGCAGCGGCGCCGCACCCTCAATCATCGCCCCCACAAGTTCAACTCCTCGAGAGGCATCTTTGAACGGAATTTCGAGAACATTATTTTTTCATGTCCCCCCACCTTTAATATAACTATTCTCAATAAACACATTAAAGGGGGCCAGACAGCAAAATTTTCGGGGTAAATTTCAGGGAACGTGTGATTTGCCGTCGCGGTGTTCGCACCTAAAGCACGAAATCCGACGCGCAAACTTTTTTTTATTTTTTTATTTTCCTACTTCATTTTTCCAAATTTTAAACTACTTTACAACTTAAAAAACGGTTTTTTTTGTAATTTACTGTAAAAATCATACAAAATAGATTTTTTTTCGTAAATTTCCGGTTCAGTCGAATGATTATTTTGTCAGTGGCCGGTTTTTTCTAAAAATATGCAAAAAAATTTTTTCTCCGATTGCCGTTTCGTCTTTCTTTCAACTGGTATTTTTTCGTCTCATTATTACTCCGAAAATGAAAACAATACAGTATGTTTCATGAATGAGGTTTTCAGCAACGCCTTCACATCTTCTGCTCACTTCGCCTTGCGACGAAAACCTCGGAAGGAAAAAAATTATCATTTTACGATTTTTTGAATTGTTTGTGTTCTTACTAAATATTTAATGTATTTTTTGCATAATTTATATGTTGACATAATAAACTGCATATATTATTTTCAACAGTGTTTCTTATCTCGTAGCTAGGCTTTGACGGCACGCTGACGTTCCGAAAATTCCCATTCCAAAAATTTTGAGTTCCAAACGTTGAATCCAAAAGATACAAGCTAAGAAAAAAGGGGAACCATCAGCGGGGATTGAACCTCCGACCTTCTGAATACTAACCTAGAGCGTACCCACTACACCACGCGTGTGAGAGGCGACGACCGCGTTGATTTGTCTTATGAAGCGACGCCGCTGCAGCAAACGAGTGAGGAAATTACGGTCAGAAAAAAAGCATTTTTCCGTCGGTGTAGTCTTTTTTTCTGGTTTTTAATTACAAAACTATACTTATACTTTAGAGTTACCTCTTTTGAGAAAAAATAAAAATTTTGAAAATTTTGATGTCTCCCCTCCTTTAACCACTGTATTTCTACCTACACCAAAAAAGTTACAGCGCCTATTTGTCACCTCCGAGCTCAATTTTCTTGGTTCATATAAGAGATATCGACAACTTATTAGCTGATAAAATATTGCTGATATTTTGAAAAATAATTTATCAGTTGACATGTTTTTGATATCTTTCAAAGGAATCAAGATAATTGAGCTCAAAGTAGACGACTTGAGTAGGATTCTAATAAAGCAAATAGGATATTCCAGGCTTCATTTTCAAAATCGACTTTGAAACAAATTGTTTTCCAACTAATCACTTCAAACACACTGATAAACAGTTTTGATAATAAAGTTTCTCTGAAATCTCCTTATTCTCCACACTCTCTTGTTATGAGTCTGATAAGAAGAAGAAGAGGAAACGCACTATTATTTCGTTCTATATTTTTCTGGCGCAGTGTGTATGTGCCTATTTATTTCTGATTTTTCTAAACTTTTATATATTCCTGAACGTCTTCAAATAATGAATTCAATTTTAACATAGGAATCTGGAGTAGCTTATTAAGACCAGCGCGAAGTTGTGAGATAGAAAGACCAAGGTAATTTAGTCTTCTCTCCGTCCAAAGTTAACTTTGAATTTTTAAGCAAAGTCTGAGTATAAAATCGCTGTTCAAAAGATCCGCAAGCATAATCAGCAAGGCAGAATGGCGGGAATGAGATTGTAAAACCCTCAAACAAGGTATGTCTTCTGAAATTCTTTAAAAAAAACCTAAACTTTTACTTTGAGCTCAAATATCTTAATTGCTGTAAAAGCTATCAAAAATGTGTCAACTAATGAAATGTTTATCTTAATGCCACAAACATTTTATCAGTTGACAAATTCTTACTAGCTCTTACGGAAAATGAGATAATTGAGCTCAAAGGACAAGAATAGGGATGGCAGGCTTATGTTCATTTTTCTTTATTATAGAGGTCCAGAGAGCATTCAAATCATGGTTCCTATCTGAAAGCGTGAGTTTAACAAAAATATGTATAACTTTTGAATTATATTTTATTTCAGACATGTTACCGCCTCTGATGGGAGACGGCAAACACGGCAATCATTAGAACAGCGCACAAAGACGAAGTGAGAGGACTGCCTGGCCCGAAGGCTGAAGACGGAATTGAGAGACACCAATGTGGGCAAGGACCACGAAGATCAAAAAGAATTGCTGAGAAGAAGGGAGAGTGAATTTGGTTTTCTTTTGTTTTGTATGTTCCTTTCTAATTTGTTTCTTTTAAAGATCAAGAGATCTTTCTTTTTTTTAAGGGAGATGTTACCGCCTCTGATGGGAGACGGCAAACACCCTATAAAAAGGGTGCTTGCCTTCTCTTATCAGAGGTTAGATGAGTAGAGTCATGTAGTCTCTCTGTAATTGTATAATTTCTATCTAATAAACCTTGTTATTATTAACCGCTACCATTATTATTTACTATTCTTTAATCCCGTATATCCCACCAATAGGGGGTATAACAGACCATTGTATTCAATTCTTTTTTCATCGGGATATTGAAGAAACAACGACAAATGCATTGCCGCATGAGCAATCCGGGAGAATCACACATTTTGTTTAAATTTTATTGTTTTTGCAAGAAATATTGAATAAAAACTTTTAAAATTTCAGTTATTAAACTGGAAGCTCATGCTCTTGCCCAAAAATGAAAATCTATGTTGTTTGATCATTCCATTCAAAGATTCCAAATTCTCCTTTTATCCAAAATTAGGGTTTCCAGTCGCGGGCAATGTTACCCGCCCGCACCTGTAATTTAAACTAATCATAGCACACCTTGAGGCAAATTACATAGCGTGGCGGTGTATAGAGTGGGCGGAGTCTGTTACTTCCGTATCTCGCTCTCTAAGTCCTAAAGAAAGGCACTTTAGTCTTACTTTACCTCCATGGCGCAGTGTGTATGTGCCTTCCATTATTTTTATAGAATTTAGTGTAATAAATATTCCTTGACACTTATAAATTAACGAAGCCTATTATTCTTATTTTCTGACCTACAGGAAAGGCGAGTGGCCACTCCGAGAGCACATGATGGTCGCCAACGCAACTACATTGTCATAAGCCAGCCAGCCAATGTCCCACACCGAATGCCCAGGTAAATCCTACACAGATCCAATACCGTGAAACCTGTAATAGAAGGGCCCTCACTTCCAACTTCGAGTCAATTTATCTCGATTCCTGTCAAAGTTATAAATAAGTTGTCAATTGATAAATTGTTGATTATAATCTCACAAACATTTTATCAATTGACACATTTTTGATGCCTTGCATAGGAATCGATATAATTGAGCGCAAATTGACTGTTTGAGCGGGCATCTATTAGAGGAAATACGGTAATTATAAAAACTATGAAAGTTAAGGGGGCATTCTATTTACGAGAGGCTCAAATTACAGATCTTTAGGAAAGGCGAGCGGGCACTCCGAGAGCACATGATGGTCGCCAACGCAACTATGTTGTCATCAATCACCCAGCTAACGTCCCACGTCAAATGCGCCAGGTAAATTCTATACAGATCAGAACTGTGAAGGTTACTGTAGTTTGTTAGAACACATTTTAAAATTATAAAAAAAAGCCTTTAAGTTGTTGATATTTAGGAAAGGCAAGCGGGCACTCCGAGAGCACTGGTTGGTCGCCAACGCAATTATGTTGTCATTAATGAGCCAGCCAATATCTCATTTCAAAGGTAAATTCTTTACAGATCTTAACTGTGAAGGTTACTGTAACGAGAACGGCTGAAAAAACTTTCTAGTCGTTCTATGAATAGAATAACTGCTAATGATGAAGAAATTGAATTTTTCAAAAATTCAATTGAATAATTTTACAGAGAGATTGAAGGAACAATTCCTGCCTGATGGTGCAGAATATCAACCGGCATGATATTTCTTAAATTATTGTATTTTTTATTGTATTTTTTTGAATTTTTATTTTCCCAAAATTATGCTTCATTTTATATTTTTCAAATGTTCCACTTGAATGAAATATCAAACGAATGCCCTTAATCAAAATATACACAGCACACAAGGCAGCTGCAGAGCTCGGCGTCGTGGTGCAAAGTGGGCGGAGCTTGCCTCCTCCGTCTCTCCCTCTCTCTCGGCTCTGCAGGAGCACACTTTAGTCTTACTCTACCCCCATGGCGCAGTGTGTATGTGCCTTTATTGATTTTCATAAAATTTAGTGCTATAAATATTCCTTGGCATCTATAAATTCTATGTCTTATTTTTCTGAAAATTGCTAGACCAATTTTTCCGTGTGCCCATATTTCGTAAGACCATGAAAGATACATGTCGGGAAAATTAATCGCGAGCTCGAGGAAGCAGAGGTTCTAACACCTGACGTACTCGAGTATATACCGCTACACCGGGACAATTTCCATATTCCACCTCACTACACCATATATGGACTACTATTCTTTTCTGATCAAGTATTCATACTAATCTACATCATGCACATCGGCTAATTCTTTTATTATATTGCTTGGCAGTTGCGGGTTATTCTGTTTGGAATGTTTTCTATGGTAAGTTTCAGAAAAAAAATTGGTTCATGCGCTTGGTACCAGTATCCCTCAAAAGAGCATTTCCTCAAAAATGCTCAGAGCATTTATAAATGCACATTTCGCGGACACCCGCATCGTAGAACCCCAGCTGTCCCTTTAAACAGAACGCAGGGAAGCGGAGTAGAATTGTAAAACGAGGGGTATTTGTGCGAATGTCTCTTTGGGATTTTAGAAGAGAACGTTGGAAGATTAGGATACAATGAAAAGCGCGCAAGTTCAAGCTCAATTATCTACGTTTCTATAAGAGATCTCAAAAAGTAGTCAACTGATAAAATGTTTAAAGGAGGGTAGACATCAAAAATTTCAAAATTTTCATTTTTACTCAAAAGATATAACTCTGAAGTATAAATATAGCTATGTACTTAAAACTCTGAAAAAAACACTTCAAGGACGAAAAAATGCTCTTTTTTGTCACCCTAATTTCTTCACTAGCTTGCTGCCGCGGCGTCGCTTCATATTGTGAAAAACGCGATGGTCGCCTCTTACACGCGTAGTATAGTGGGTACGCTCTAGGCTAGTATTCAGGAGGTCAGAGGTTCAATCCCTGCTGGTGTTTTTACTTTTTTCTTCCCTTGTTTCCTTCGGATTGAACTTTTTGAACTCGGAATTTCTGAAGGGCTACCAGCGTGCCGCCGAGGCCTCGCTCCGAGGTACCAAAATCAGTTGAAAATGAAGAAACTTGTTTTATTATGTTAACAAATAAATTATGAAAAAAACTACAATTAATTTTTAGAAAGAGACATAACAATTGAAAAAAAACCACATAATTAAAACAATCCTCGTGCAGGGCTGGTCGTCGGAAAGTGAAGGAAGCAGTAAAAATGGAGACGTCTCTGAAAATCCTAGTCATAAAACAGTTTTATTCCTAGAGTAATAACGAGAAGTAATGAGATAAATAGGAACAGTGAAGAAACGGTTATCGAAGAGAAAATAGTTTTTTTTCGCATGCCTATAAAAAACACCGGCGACTGGCAAAATAATCGGTCGATAGAACTTTAAATTTACATAAAAAATTCACTTTTATATGGGTTTTATAATAAATAAGAAAAAAGAGCTTTTTTAATGTTTGAAGTCGTTAAAAATTGAAAAAAAAAAGTCGGGAAATAAAAAAATAAAAATGTTTGCGCGTGGGATTGCGTGCTTTAGGTGCGAACACCGCGACGGCAAAATACACATTCCCTGAAATTTTCCCCGAAATTTTTGTTGTCTGCCCTCCTTTAACATGATATAACCAACGTTTTATCAGTTGACAGATCTTTGATATATTATATAGGAACTGAGATAATTGAGCTCGAACATCAAAAAAAAAATGTTTCTAACAAATGATGGTTTTTTTCAGACCTTGCCTTCGAGATGCCTCTGCAAGCGATCAGGATGCTAAGAAAAAAAATTCCAGGAAGCCAAGTTCTTCAAAGAAAAATAATTTTTTATTGTCCATTTCTTAAATTGTTGATTTTAATAACTATCTCGACGACAGTGTTCTGTAAACAATTAAACCTTGGAAGATGCCTCTAATAATAATCCAATATGGAGGTCGCACCTGAGTAAATGTTTTATTTTTATATTTTTATCAGCACCACAGTATTCAAAAAGTGACAATTTTGTCTTTGAACAGCTTGAACAATTCATTGTAATATTGAAAAACCGACACAATAAGACTTGCATTGTGAGGCAAGCTTTTACAAGCGCCCTCTTTTTCCCAATTTATCTAGTTTCCTGTAAGAGACATTGAAAAGTAGTCCACTGATAAAATGCTCATCATATTATCACAAACATTTTATTAGTTGACCACTTTTTGTTATCTTTTCCAGAAATTGAGATAATGAACCTCAAAGCGTGCACAAAAGTCTGAATTATACGATTGCTATCTTTACTTCCGCGCTGCCCCTTTCTCACGTTCTCTTCCTCTCACTATCTCGTGTCTCTTTTTTGCCTTCCTCTCTCGTGGCTCCGAAGAGCCAAAGAGACACTTCAGTCTTCTCCCTGGCGCAGTGTGTATGTGCCTACAATTGTATTGATTTTTATAAAATTTGATTACATATATTCCTTGGCACCTAAGAATGAATGGAGCCTTGTTTTTCTTATTTGTCTGAAATTTATTTTTCCAATTTAAATATGTTAATCGTTTTTAATGAAGGTGAGTTTTTTTTTCAAAAAAGCCATAGTTTGAAGTACCTCAAATAATGCTCTCAATTTTTATTTACATTATTTTACAGTAAAGGAAGCCAAACAAGAATAGTGGAAGAACCAAATAGACGTCGTTGTAGCTGCACCAATGTGAGAAGGATGGTCAGAGGAAGATGTCTAAAAGCGTCTCTGCAACAAGAAGGATTCATCCCAGATCCTTCAAAAAAGACCGTTTCGCCAAGATTCTAGACAGAATTGTCGACCATGGAAGTGAAAATATTGTGGAGGAAATGAAGAAAATCGAAAGTTCGTTTATTTTTTGAAACTCGAAATATTTTGATGATCGAAGATGTTCTAACAAATTTCCAAACTTTTTAGTTTTTTAACCTAAACTCAAAAAACTAGAGAATTCGACAGCAAAAATTGAAATTTTTTCAGCTTCCAAGGCACTGATGAAAAATGAAAAATGTAAAATCCACGATTGGCTCGTGTCTTTTGAAAAAAGTGTGATCAAATCACTCCGAAAAATGACGAACATTCCTGAAGAAGTCGACATCGAAATCGGAGACATATTCGAAGATTAAAAGGTGAAGTCAATACGTGTTGCCGTATCAGCGTTGGATGTGGCTACATTCGTGGAACGTGCAGCAAAGATGAGAAAGTTGTGAACTCAATTAACATTGCTTAAACATGTCCGTTTTGATGAATACATTTATTTTTTAAACGTTTGCGTTTTTTTTTTGACATTTCCTTTTCAGGGTCCATCCTTTCTGACATAAGTCTTTTCTCTTCCTTTTCCCGCTCTCATACGGTAGTCGGCTTTCAAAGAGGACCTTTCAATCAAAAAAAGGGAGGGAAATCTCGATTTACACTTACTTGTATAGAACGTACAGGATTCCGAAAATGAAAATTCTGTCTTACAGCATCTTGAAGGGTTTCTTGGAATATTGGGACACGTCTAATATTGAACCAACAAAATAGGCATTTTCGCTCTAAACGCGCTCTAAACTTTTAATACAAGGGCACCCTAACTTTGTACCATTTTATCTAGACTCCTGTGAGAGGTATCAAAAAGTTATCAACTAATGAAATGTAGACGATATTATGATAAACATCTTATCAGTTGACAACTTTTTGATATTTCTCACAGGAAGCGAGATAATTAAGCTTAAAAAGTGCGCTGGCTGAGTTAGGTTCGTCTTCTGCCTACTGTTGCACACTTTAAGGTAAATTATCTCGGTTCCTATGACAGATGTCAAAAAGTTGACAACTGATGAAATGTTTCTGATATTATGATAAACATTTTATCAATTGATAACTTTTTGATATATCTCACAAGAAGCGAGAGAAATCGGGTCAAAATTTGCTATGCTTCCGTACGCTCCCCATCTCCCACTTTTCTCTCACCGCCTCGTGTCTCTTTTCTGACCTCTTCTCTCGGTCTTGCTTCTCCGAGGAAGACACTTCAGTCTTCTTCCTGGCGCAGTGTGTATGTGCCTAATATTGATTTTCATAAAACTTAATTTTTTAAATATTCCTTGGTATCTATAAATGAATGAAGCCTACTATTTCTTATTTTTCTGAAATTCTTGGTTTCTATCTCAACTTGTGATTTTTTTTAAATTGAGGTGAGTTGATTTTTTGAAAAAAAAAGGTCAAAATTCTGATCTTCAGAAAGGTCCCACACAATGTGGACAACACTCCTATCCCGATACAAATGCATTCCTCGGACAAACGTGGAGCTACGCCGTGTCATACGACACCTAATAGCCATTCCAAACAAAAGAATTCACCACGTATCTCGACTTGGGAGCAATGATTGCGTCCTGGAGAACCGTATGAAGGAAAAGTCGCGTCACTAGATGGTAACAGTACTTTCCAACAGCGATTCGATCGGTACATGAGCGATGGTTTTCGATTGTCTTCCACATTCGGAGCTCGCGCCGTCACAGAATGAACCGACCTATTTCGAAAGGATATTTAGTGTAACGTCGTCTTTCCTCCATTAATTCATAAATTCCATTTTTACAGAGTCCCAACAAATTTGTCTTCGTCTGACCCTCCACAATTTGGTTAACGGCGCAATCCATCCAATTGGCTTTCCCGTTCTGCCGAAAAACAAATAAGTATATGGACCTTGCTATTTTTAGTGTTTTCTAGTGGATTCTATTTTTTTCACGCACTTTCAGCATTGTGTTCCACACTTGGCTATGAAATAAATGTTATTTATATAAACAGTACAGCCCACGTCGAGAGGACATTCAGTGTACTGTTCCACATCTGGTTTAAATAATAAATGTTTCCTGTATAAAGATTGTTCTATTCATAAGCATCACATGTTTAAAAATACACAATTTCATAAGGAAAGACCCCTAGTTTTCAGAACCTTCCGAATCTCCTGGACCCCTCTTTAACTCAAGCGGTCGGCAACCTAGTAGGCGGCAGGCAGCGTGTCACAGCCGCACTCATTTTTAAGCGCAATTATCTCAATTCCTAAAAGAGATATTAAAAAGTGGTCAACTGGTAAAATGTTGATCTTATGACCAGGAACATTTTATTAGCTGACACCTTTTTGAAATCTTTCACAAGAAACTATATAAATTGTGTCCTATTCCGAGAGTGCGGGAGGACCCTTCCTCTCACTATCTCGTGTCTCTTTTTTGCCTTCCTCTCCCGTGGCTCCAAAGAGCCAAAGAGGCACTTTAGTCTTTTCCCTGGCGCAGTGTGTATGTGCCTAATATTGATTTTTATAAAATTCTATGAATATTCCTAGGCACTTATAAATGAATGGAGCCTACTAATTCTTATTTTTCTGAAATTTCCACTATATATATCTTTTAATGGAGGTAAGCTCGAAACTAGAAAATTCAAATTCTAATAATATGCTTACAAAAGAATGACAAAATTTCTGATCTTGAACTATTTTCAGACGACTTTACAATTTATGGAAAAACCATTTCAAGATGTCCATCAGAGATCTTCAAGCGAATTTTAAATTTGGACTACAATGCACGGTGATTCTTCCGAATCCGAAACATCGCGAACTCAACAGAAAAAAGAAATAGAGACAAAGAACTGGAAAGTGAAGTGAGAGGAAGCAGATCTCATCTCAGCTCGAAGGAAGAATCCCGAACAACCCGCAGTGGCATCGATCCTAACAATACTATCAAGAACGGCAATGTCAAGAGTACTTTTAGTTTTGTTTTCTACACATTGAAAGAGAAATAAAAGTTATATATAGTCCTGCCACACTTTTTTCATGAATTTTGAAAATTTATTCAGAAGTGCAAAAAAGCATTTCAAACGTCCAGAAGGGATAAAAACATCATTCTAACAAAATTTGGTGTCATATAGCACACAAACAGAGACTTTTGGCTCCAGAAACTGGTTCGTTTTGCTCTTTTTGGAGTCTCAGTCCGCCTCGACCAGCTCCGATTCCAACTCCACCAGCTCCGATTCCATCTCCACCAGCCCCGATTCCAACTCCACCAGCTTCGATTCCACCTCCACCAGCTCCGATTTCACCTCGACCAGCTCCGATCCCGCCTCTCGGATCCCAGAGCTCCGGATCCCAGAGCTCCGGGTCCCAGAGCCCCAGCTCTCCAGCTGATGCTGGAGAACGGACTGATTCTCACTGTTTCTCTCTTCCCTTATATGCAAACAATCCTGGGCGATCCTTATCTCTTTGCTCCATTTTTTCACTTTTTTTATAAAAAAAAGTTTTTTTCCAAAACGTGAAATTTTCTTTCGCTAAATTTCCCAAAGTAATTAAAATTTTTTCGGATTTTTTTTCGCGTGTTCCATGTTATAATTGCATTCTCTTCTTGTTTCAAAAAGTGCATGGCTGGTCTAGTGGTTTACACTGTTGGCAATGAATCCCAAGGTTTTTGGTTCGACCCCCGCCTAGGATTTCCCTTTTTGTTCGTTTTTACTTTTTGTAAAAATAGGCGAGAATTGTTTTTGAAGGCCCCTTGAACTGCAAACTTCAAATGTGATGGAAGGGCCCCCAAACCGTAAACTTTGAGCCGATATATCTCGATTTTTGTGAAAGATATCAAAAAGTAGTTCACTGATAAAATGTTTATCATATTATCAGAAACATTTTGTCAGTTGACAACTTTTCGATATCTCTCACAGGAACTGAGATACATTGGATCATAGTGGACGCGTTTTTTTTCTATCAAACTTCTCTTTTCCTTTTTTCTCTCACCGTCTCGTGTCTCTTTTCCAACCACCTCCCTTGTCACTAATTCCACGAGAACGACACTTCAGTCTTTTCCCTGACGCAGTGTGTATGTGTCTAACAACTTTATTGATTTTCATAAAATTCTATATATTCCTTGGCACCTAAATGAATGGAGCCTTTTATTCTTATTTTTCTGAAATCCTTTATTCCCATTTCTAGATTGACGTCGGAAGGTAAAGTCTCATTGGTTTTCATTGATAGAAATGTGAAAATCAACTCGGATGTGTACCAAAAGTTGGTGTTGATGGTTGTTTTACGTCCGTGGGTCACTAGCCACTTTGGCCAGCAACCCTTCATTCTTCAACAAGATTGGGCCCCGTCCCATGGCTCGAAATCCACGAAAGCTGTTCTCGACGCTCATTTCCCTGGCTACTGGGGCAAGGACATGTGGCCCGCTTCCTCGCCCGATCTGAATCCACTCGACTTTTCCGTTTGGGGATATTTGGAGGAAAAGGTGATGGCTCGATCGCACCCAAATGTGGATTCACTGAAGGCCGCTTTGCTCAAAGCATGGGATGATCTTGACGATGACTACCTCCGGCGCACCGTCGCTTCTGTTCCAGCTCGTTTGAAGGCGTGCATCAAGGCCGAAGGCTCAAACTTCGAATATCTCCTCTGATATCTTTTCTATTACTATCATTTGTTGAAAAAATAAATCCGGTTCTTTTGTTGAAACTCCATTTTTGAAAATACAACAAAAAACAAGTGTCTCAATACTTTTCAGCCACCCTGTAGTTGAATTTTAATGACGGTGAGCTTTTTTGCAAGGGGTTTGTTTTCAAAATTAGGGATTTCAAATAGAAATTCCAGTTTTTCGACTGCGAGACACATCTGAAACATCTGTGTTTGCAACTACTCAAGTTTCGGAAAAAAAAATTTACCACAGATACAGAGGATGCGTTTGTTCCCGAAAATTTGGCTCAAAACATCCGTGGATACAAAGAGGGAGAGTATGCATGTGTAAGTTAAAAGCTCCAATTCATATGGAGCCGCAAATTTTCAGGTTTGTGTCAAATACTTCCCTGGAAATGAAGCAGTATTCAGAGTTCATTGTCACGAGAGGACCGCCGATCGGAACATTTGGGACCAGAGCGCGTATCAGAAAAGCCACAAAGTGATTTAATGCAACAATTACTGTTGGTGTACGTTTAATGGGGGACTCCGACCAGAAATTTTTATTGCATTAAAATGTGTTAAAATTTATCTATTTTTCAAATATTATTGCGAAAAAATTCAAAGAAAATCCGAAATCCCCGAAAAACGGCGTTGAAAAGGAAGAAAATTCAAAAAAAGGTGCCGCCGGGGGACGAGGATTTTCAGTGAGAAACTTAGGCCACGGCAGCGGGCGCCTTTCCTATGTGGCAAATTTTCCGGATTTTTTTCAATTTCATGTCCGGCAAGTAAAAAACGTAAAAAACCACTGTCGGCGACTTGAAAAAAAGGCTGTCAGGTGCCGTGGCCTAGGTTTCTCACTGAAAATCCTCGTCCCCCGGCGGCACCTTTTTTTGAATTTTCTTCCTTTTCAACGGCGTTTTTTGGGAATTTCGGATTTTTTTTGAATTTTTTCGCGATAATATTAGGAAAATAGATAACTTTCAACACATTTTAATGCAATAAAAATTTTTAGTCGGAGTCCCCCTTTAACATTTTTTAGAGTTCAATATTTTATATTGTGTTTTTTCAGGACAAGCAAATGTGCAATATCCAGTTTGGAAACAGGTCGTTTGTGAAAATAAAATATATTTTTTTGCTTCCTTTTTTAAAATAAACAAGTTTAACCATAAACAAGCTTTGAAGATTTGAATCGAAGTCACTCAAATTTCTTGGGATCCCTAAACTTGAATAAAGCCGAAAACTCGTTGTATTTCTTTACGGCTTTAGGTCCCGATGGGAAATCCTTAAAGGTGCATTTAAAGGAGCATGCATTTTTGTAGTTATTTTCTGACCTATTTTTTCCGATTTTTTGCGGGAACTACTGCACAAAAATTAGGGTGTTTTGCACTGAGTCTGCAAACACGCAGCTGACAGTTTTATAATTCCGACAATAGTGTTGCGCCTTCAAACTTCTACAGTAATACCGTGAACTAAAAATATTTTCCTTTACCCGATTTATTAAACATCTCGATTTTTGTTCGTTTTCCGTTAATTTTTTCCCAAATTTCAGATTTTTTTTCCCGAATCCCAAATCTTCAAAGCTCTTTTGCATATGTAAAATGCTTCTTCGATGTCACAAGGAAAAAAGGGGCGGAGCCTATTTTCTCTTCTCCCAAAAATCTCCTGAAAAATCTCCTGAAAAAAATTTCAGAAAAAAAACTTATAACTTATACTGATAATTTTTTATCATAATATCATTGGCATTTTATCAGTTTACTATCAACCAACTGTTATTTCTCATCAACCGACTACCAAGGCTATGCATTCTTATCAAACAAATGGACAGTTATCCGATGGTTCGGATTCAGTGGCCTTTGTAAACGATAAAAAGAGATTTAGTCGAGAAAATTACTAGTTTATCCTTATCCAAAGACTAAAATAGTACAAACGATATAAAATATTATGGAAAACCAGCAAAACCCTAAAACACACTTCAAAACTACTCTATAAAAAACCTAAACTCAACATAACCAAAAACACGACTTGCCACGTCGTCGGCGAGACGGGCTGTACGCGTACGGCCTCAGCGGAATAGCGGAGCGTCGTTGCGAGTGGGCGCGTAGTACCGTAAGTAAGGGTTGATGAGTTGGCGGGCATGCCTACCGGCAACTGGACAACGAAACGTCGTATCGTTTATTGTAGAAAAATATACAAATCAGACGGATACAGTCCCATCGAACCCTTTGGCAGGACCTGTATAGGTCATTTCGAAGTTTTCTCCGTTCTCGATGAAGTGACATTTCTGCTTGCCGAACAAATTGTGACTCAAAACTCCTGAAACAACAATGAAAATGATGCCTTTCCTAAAACAGCCTAGTTCCAACCTGGAGTGTTACTGATTTCATCGATCAGATCTTGTTCAGTCTAGTTTGGGCGTTCCTTGTCTCTGGTTCTCCAATCCATTGGTGGTACCCACTCGATGAAAATGCATTCCGGAGCGAATGAAGCAGACAGTTTTCGCCTGATTCATCATGGCTCTTGGGAAATCGGAAGCTGCGTTTGACTCGACATACATTGGATTTTTAAGCTAAAACTTGCGCAAATTTTCAGCTAGTTCGCAGGACACCTACCCCATTAATTGTGCAGATGGCATTGAAAGTCTCCAAATAGCAATCAAATGATCTCTTATAGGAACTGAAGTAATTGAGATTAAAGTTTAAATACTCGGTGGCGCTCTATTAGAACCATTCACTGCACGGCACCGCAGCGACACAACGCGCAAAGTAGCTGCTGACGCGCTTCACGCTATGTTGCAGGTAACGCGCCAACGATCGATGTCTGCGTCTCTAAAGTGATTCGCACTCTCGCATCAATTGCGCGAAATTTTGCGAATTGTTTCGCTGGGATGCCGTGCACTGGAGATTGCGAAATTCTAAAAGCCAATCACTAGAAAAATCGTATTCTTCAGAAATATGTTCAATAAATACAAAACTTACAGTTTGCACATGTTCGCATCCCAAAATCGAATTATCGCAGACCAGAGTATTAAAATATGAATAAAATATGTGAAATTCTAGAAAAATCAGAAAAAAATAGACACATACACACTGCGCCATGGGAATGAAATACGAACGAAAAATAGCGCCGGCTTCCCCGTTTATATTGTGAAGTGAGAGACTATTGAAAGATGAGAGACGCTAGATTTTTTATGACTGTAAAGAAAAAGATGAAGGAAAAAAAGGAGAGAGAAGGGAGAAAGAGAAAAAAATAGTTTTCCATCAGCCGAATTGATTCAAAATGAAAGAAAAATATTGGTAAAAAATATTTTAAAAACTATGTGTTTAATGAAATATTTATCAGATTATCACTAACATTTTATCAGTTAACAAAATTTCAATATCTCCAATAGGAACTGAGATAATTGAGCTCAAAGGACTGGTATAGATAACGAGGCCGCATTCTGCCGACCGAGCACTGCAGAACGCACATTTCAAGCTTAATTATCTCAATTTCTGTGATAGATATCAAAAAATTGTCAACTAGCAAAATATTTATCAAACTATCAGCAATATTTTATCAGTTTACAAATTTTTTGTATCTCCTATAGGAACAGAGATACTTGAGCTGAAAATAAGTGCATACTCTAGCCACGAATCAGTCCCTGATACCTTAAAAGAACATTTTTCTGTAGATTTTTTTTTACTGAAAACAATTACATATTCAAATTCTACGTTGTCGATCCAGCCATGGTTACAGCCAAAGCATTGAGCAAGAACATAGGCTCCGCCCCTTTTGCTGCGGTCACCAGTTATAATTTTGAATTTTTAGCATTAAAAAATCTACTCTGAAATCTAAGAATCTGAAAATAAATTGATTTTACTTATCTCCAAAATCCCAAACCCCTCAATTTTCCTCGATTTTCCTTTTCTCCCGAAATCTAATGTTCCTTTAAAATGCCCCATTCATGTCACTCATCCTAAATCTAGGCCATTTTGAAAAGAAAATAAGAGATGCTCCATGTATTCTCCGTTCCCCGAAAAAGCACTTTTCTAAGTGCCCCTGTCTGTGAAACGGAAACCCATAAATTACGTTTTCTCTGACGTCTCTCATTTTTCTGTACTCTCTCGCTTTACGGCCCCCAAAAGGCTAAAACGGGGAGCCGGAGTCATTTTATTCGTGTTTCATGGCGCAGTGTGTATGCGCCTAAAATTTGTTCTGATTTTTTTGGAAACTCTAAGTAGTTGAAAACCTCGAAAATTCCAAAATTCTCCAATTATGTTGGGAATTCATAAGGTGTGTTATTTCAGCCTAAAATTTGTCTTAAAATCCTAATTTCAGAGCTAGTGGAAACGAAAAAAGATGCTGGTTCGGCATAGCTGAAATGACCGACGTTTGAAGGTAAGGAAAATAACTTTCCAGATTTCTTTTGCTTAAAGTTAAAATTGGGTACCTAATTAGCTATAATTAGACCCAGCCAAAGGGGCGGAGCTTACGCGGTGGGGGTGTTTTGGATGGCTGTAACTATAGCTAGAAGGGAAGGATCTATATGAAAATTTGTATCAAATTTTGAATATGTAATTGGTTTCACTCGAAAATATACTTGGAGAGAACTTTTCCCATATCCAGAGCATGCAGTCCATTTGAGCTTAATTATCTCGGTTCCTGTAAAAGATATCAAAAAGTAATCAACTAACAAAATGTTTATGATACTATAATAAACATTTTATTCGTTGACAACGTTTTGATATCTTTCACAAGAAGCGAGATATATAGACTCAAAGTCGGTAAGCCTACATCCACCGCGTAGCTCCCTCATAGAACGCTAGTTGCTCTTTAAGCCCTTTCATCTCACTGTCTGTAAGAGATACCAAAAAGTGATCAACTAACAAAATATTTATCACATTATCAGAAACATTTTATTAATAGACAAATTTTTGATATCTTTCACAGAAAGTGAGATATATGGGTTAAAAGTTGGTAAGCCTAAATTCACCGCGTACCTCCCTTGTAGAACGCTTGTTGCTCTTTAAGGCCTTTTATCTCAATTTCTGTAAGAGATATTAAAAATTGATCAACTAGCAAAATGTTCACCACATTGTCAGAAACATTTTGACAGTGGACAACTTTTTGATATCCTTCACAGAAAGTGAGATATATGGACTCAAAGTCGGTAGCAGGCTTGTTCGGAAAAACAAATTCGGAAAATCGTGTTCTCGAATTTTTTCCCGACTTTTTTTTTCGGAAAATCGAGTTCTCGAATTTTCTCGAATTTCAATCAGTCAGAAATTACCAGTTTATTTGACAAAAACAACAAAAACAACAAAAAGCACAAAAATGAAATGGAAAACAATAGATGAACAAGCACAAGTAACAAAAAGTAACAAAAGTATTAATTATTTTTTGAATTTTGTTGATGAAATCCCATCAATTTTACATTCTGTTGCAAAAAAAGAAGTTTGGAAAATTTCACCTTAAATCGACCCCGTAAATCGACACCGATTGCGGGTCTCGCCGCGCTTGGGTTACTGTTGCACCTGTTTCAACTATACAAAGTAGAGATTTCGAGAAAAAATTTTCCGAATATTTTTCGGAAAATCGGAAAAATCGATAACTCGATTTTCCGATTCCGATCAAGCCTGGTCGGTAGTAAAATTTTCCTTAAAATCTAATCTTTTTCTTCCAGATCATTCACTCTACCAAAGATTGATGATTCGGCACAGCAGAGATGACAAAATGAGGAAATGTGTATTTTTTGTAGTTCAATCAGTCAAACCGACCGAAGACAACGGACCCGATAATTGTTTTTTTTTACTATGAAAGTTCAAAGTGAATAAAAGAAATTTGAATAATACCAAATGACAAATTTTCAAAAATGTTGAACTTTTACTGAAGTTAAAAACAAGGGGCTCGCGGAGCAACACTTCTCTCTCTCTCTCTATTATTTGAAATCTCAAAGGGAGTCATTAACAAATTTCATTTCTCGCCTCCACCCACACTCACTCTATGTTTACCAGTTGCTATGGAGCAGAGACAGAGAGCATTCATTATTTTTCATTTTCCATATTTCAATTGCTCTTTTTTTTGTTTCTAGTCTCTAGCTTTTCCAGGATACAGTATTCTCTAAACTTTTCAAAATGCCGTGCTGGCCACTTAACTATTTTTCAAAGGAGCAGAACGCTGGGTAAGCAGTAATGGCTCAATTTATCTCGGTTCCTACGAGAGATATCAGAAAGTTGGTAACTGATAAAATGTTTTTGATTATATGGTTAGCATTTTGTTAGTTGACCACTTCTTGATACCTTTTTTAGGAACCGAGATAAATTGGGTAAAAGTTGGAGTCCCTGGTTTTACGGTATTCTGACTTTTCAAGGGCCCCCAGATCTTTAACTTCGATTCGATTTATTTCGATTGTTGTAACAGATATCAAAAAGTTGGTAACTGATAAAGTATTGATGATAATGCGATAAATATTTTGTTAGTTGATCATTTTTTGATATCTTTTACGGAAGACTAGATAAATGGGGTCAAAGTAGGTAACCTGAAGAGCCTTCTATTCTATGGTTCAACTTTTGTTCACTAACTTTTATCCGTTGCTTTTAGCGTAATCCTGAAAACATGAACTTGCTGTTTTTGCTGAATCTAGGTAGCTCAAAGTGTCCAAATGCCTTATAACTCATCCTCTCTGGCATGTGACACTTGAGAGGGGCTAATGAACTAACCCGTGACTCTCATTTTTCGTATAGTTAATCCTTTTCAGTTTGTCATCTTTAGAATGTGTAGTTCTAGAAAAAAAAAACGATCATGAAAAATATAGTTTTCTAGAAATTTTGAGCCTTTGGGAAGTTGAACTTTTGGTAAAAATATTATTGGTCGAGATAACGAATGCTCCTCATTACTTTTGTCCATTGGGGGAAGTTGAACTTCTGAACTAAACGGTTCGACTACCAGCCGATGCCCATATGAATGAACTGCCATTTTGCCCCCCCCCCCCACAACCTTTAAGACCCCAAAACTATGACAAATCTCACATTTCGAAAAACCCAAATCGAAAAGCGCGCTGACCTATAATTAGGGACGGGGTTTGCTGTTTCCAAGAACTAAATATCAAATTGTGTTTTTGGCTTTCCTAAAAGTTACAGGCTAAACAAAAATTATTTTATTTTACAATCGAGGTTTTCAAATTAACCACACTGAATATGATAGAAAAACTCAAGAGCTACGAAATGATACTATTCGGAATACTGTACCTTGTCTATCAACAAAGTTACAAGCCAAAACCCGTCGAGTGCCGCGGTCACAGTTATGGCTTGTAACTTTGTTCAGGATTGTAAGTTTATTCATGAATAAGATACAGTTTTTAAACAGTATAATTTTGTAGCTCTTGAGTTTTTCTATCATATCCAATTTAGTTGGTCTGAAACTGTTCATTCTGAAAGAAACTATGGCAGATCCCGCGAAGGCCCAGTCGCAAAAATGATCGAAAGCGGGTTTTGAAAAGCAGGCAAAAAATGTGCCAAAAGTTGGCTAAAAACGGGGCATAGATGGGTTGAAAAAGGTCAAAAAGGGTCAATAATGAGTCAGAAGTGTGCCAAAACTAGTTTGAAAATGGGTTAGAAACGGGCCAAAAACGGAGTGAAAATATGTCTTTCGGTTTCAATATTTTTACGCTATCTAACTTTGATACGATAGAAAAATTTAAGAGCTACAAAATGATACTATTTGGAGTACTGTATCTTGTCTATGAACAAAGTTGCAAGCTAAAAAGCTCTAACCGTGTGGCTCAGACACTTTTTGGCTTGTAACTTTGTCCACAGAGAAGCTACCGTAGTCCAAATAACACCAGTTTGCAGTTCTTGAGTTTTTCAATTATATTCCATTCAGTTGGTCCCAAATCATTCATTCTGAAAAAAGCAATGGAAATTTGAAACAATCCTTTATTTCAGACCCAACCTGGCCGCTCAAAAAATGTCCTGGAAAGTGTCAAAGGACGAGTTGAAGATCATTGTGAACAAAAATGCAAATACGGTAAGTTACAAATTCTTGGTGTGGATGTTTGTGTGTAGCTGCCGAGAGCCAACAAATATAGAAATGATAACGATTGAATATTTAGAGCATCCAGAAAATGAGTCGCGAGTTGGAGAACAAGAACTCCAAAGAGGAGAATCCAATAATCTCAAAACGTCGAGTCTTTGGATCCTATGCATTGGTGGGCACCCAACGTGCCGAGTTTCTTCAGTTTAAGCAGTTTACAATGATTCACCTTTCTCCGGATGTAATAGACTATTTGTATACCCTTAAACAACTGCAAAATGATAATCTGGCCAAGTTTCTGGGAATACAGTGTAATGATGACACTATGCCAACGTTAACCGTTCTGCATACACTTGTGGAGCGTGGGACACTTGAGGTACCGAGCTATTAAGGCGATCCTTCAAAACCCCTCTGCTTTTCCAGGAATTCTGCCTGAACCAAGACTTCTCGATGAACGAAACCTTCAAGTCTGCATTCATGAGAGACATGTTGAGAGGACTCAATTATCTTCACAAGGGACCAATTGGATATCACGGATTCTTACAAGCAGCCACCTGTCTCATCGATATCAATTGGGTTTTGAAACTCTCGTTGTATGGAGTCACGAATTTCATTTGTGATGCGTTGGACAACAAGAACATCCAAGCACCCGACTTCCTTGACCGGACCGGCGAGTTGCCTTCAATTTGATCTATCTCGGTTGTAGTGAGAGATATCAAAAACAAGTCAACTAACAAAATGTTTATCTTATCATAATTGCCCGCGGTATGTCCGGGGTATCAGGTTCCTGTGATAAAATAGAAGAAAATCAACAAGAAATGTAACAAAATCGGTTTATTATGAACAAGTTAGAAAGAAACAACAAATAAAAGCTTAGAATTCAAGCAAACTCACTTGAAATCGTTAAAAGAGTCTCTAGAACAACCACGAGCCAAATCCAAGCTCGCAATCTCTCAAAACTAAATTTAAACTGTGCGCGCGCCGAGCGGGATAGCGGAGTGTCGTTGCGTGGTTAGAGGGAACCTTTAGAAGGAGTTGGAGGGTAGATGCACCAGGCAACTTCATTTTTAACATTTTGACAGCTTTTTGATATCTCTTACAGTAACCCAGATAAATTGACTCAAACAAAACCTTTCAGTCTCCTATGCTCAATACGTGTGCTTCCCACCTGAGCACATCAAGCAGTACGATAAGACCGGAGAAAAGCCGCCAAGAATGGTGCGAGGCAGTCAGAAAGGCGATATGTATAGTGTCGGAATGATTTTATACATGATGATCGAACGAGACGATCCGTACATGTTTTCGCATGAACTAGGACGACCAGATCAGCGTAAGAAACAATTTTTTCTACGTCATGACCCAATTTTTTCTAGGTCATGACCCTATTTTCTAGGTCAAGAGCCAATGTTTTCTAGGTCATGACCTAGTTTTTTTTTCACTTTTTCAATTTCTAACGATTTTACACTTTAAAACCCTGTGCTCGGTTTAAGCACCTCTCGGTTTTTCCTAGGTCATGACCCAATTTTTTCCATGTTGTGACTCAATTTTTCTAGGTCATGACCCAATTTTTTCCATGTCGTGACTTTTTTTTAGGTCATGAGCGTATTTTTTCTAGGTCATGACCCAATTTTTCTAGGTCCTGACCCAATTTTTTCTTGTTTTTTCTAGGTTCATGACCCAATTTTTTTCTAGGTCATGACCCAATTTTTTCCAGATCATGATCCAATTTTTTCTAGGTCATGACCCAATTTTTTCCGTCGTTTTGCAGGTCTTGTCAAAGACATAATCGTCAATAATAAACTGCCACGTATTGCCGAGGAACATAATTCTGAAGCACTACTTCTCGAGAAGTGCAAAGAATGCTGGAGCCGTAAGCCTGAAGAACGACCGGATGTTAGAGATATTATGGACACAATTTCAATTGTCTATGCTTCAGCGTAATTTTTTGACCTACAGTAATCTTTCAAAATGGTAAATATTTTAGAAAAGGAAGTCTGGTAGATCAAATGATGAAAATCAATGAGAAATACGCGGCCGAATTGGAAGACTTGGTAGCGATCCGAACAGAAGAGTTGGCTTATGCGAAAGAGACTACAATGAAGATTCTGAATGAGATGTTGCCACAGTATGAGTTCTTAACTCGTTATTTTGTAATTCTAAAATTTCAGAGCAGTAGCAGAGGATCTAAAAAACGGAATCGTTCAAATGCCAAGAAGCTACGAGTCAGCGACAGTGATGTTTGTGCAGATTTGTGAATTCAACGTCCTGATGAAGAAAAGCACTCCTGATCAGGTCATCGCGTTTCTCAACGACGTTTTCGATCAGTTTGACAGTGTCATTAAGCATCATGTGGCTTATAAGGTGGAGACTACTGGTGAGACATATATGGTCGCGTCTGGTGTACCAGAGGAGAATGATGGGCAGCACATTTTTGAGATTGCTGAGATTGCCTTGGAGATTCGAGAAGTGGCGGCAGTGTATGTTTTGCCGCACGACCCGAAGTATATTGTGAGTTGTGGTTTTGTAGCTCAGCTGGTTTCTGGAGCGTCGGAAGATTATAGATGGGTCTAGAGGACTCTAGAAAGTTCTTGAAGGCTCCTGAGGGTATTAGAGGGTTTTAAAAGACTCTAGAGGATTCTTAAAGGCTCTAGAAGATTCTGGGGGGGGGGGGGGTAATTCTAGACGACCCAAAAAGGTTCGGAATCTAGATAATTTTTGGATGGTTCTGAAAGATTCTATATTATTATAGAAGTCTCTTGAAGTCTGGAAGTTTGCGAAAGATCCCAGAAATCATCAAAAATGTTTTTCAGCTCCGCATCCGTACTGGCTTCCATATGGGACCCATCGCTGCCGGTGTCATTGGTATAAAATCGCCACGGTACTGTCTTTTCGGCGACACCGTCAACTACGCCTCTCGAATGCAGTCGACATGTGCTCCGAACCAAATACAAACCAGTGAGATTACGGCAAAAGTGTTGGAAAACTCAAAACGGTACATTTTGGATGACAAGAAGCTTGTGTATGTCAAGGGAAAAGGTAAAGAACGCTTGTGAACTTTGAACTCATAAATCTCATTTCCTGTCAGAGATATCAAAAAGTGGTCAACTGATAAAATATTTATCATGATATCAGCAACATTTTATCAGTTTATCACTTTTTGATATCTTTCACTGGAAACCAGATAAATTGGTTACGGTAAATAGTTTGCAGGAGACATCAAATGCTACTTGCTCACTGGACGCACTTATCGAGGAGCAAAGCAAGTCGAGGAGCTGCAAAACTGATTTAAAAATAAAGACATTGAATTTTGCTACAATTTGTTGAATATGAATATTTTTTAAGTTTATTCTGCAAATACCATTCAGGAACACACTAAAAATGATATAGGTAAGTGCTGTTTAAGCTCAATTATATCGGTTCCCACAAGAGATAACAAAAATTCGTCAACTGATAAATTGTTTGCGATCTTATGATATACATTTCCTCAGTTGATTATTTTTTGGTACTTTTTATGGGCGCCGAGATAATTGAGCTCAAATTTGAAAGCTACCTGGCCGACCATTTCTCCCAAACCTTTAACTTTGACCTTATTTTTTTCGTTTGCTGTAAATGACATCAAAAAGCTGTCAACCAATAAAATTTTACTGATAATATGATAAAAAAAATCGGTCTAAACAGGGAAAATTATTGGAAATCTGTGATTCAAAAAAAAATGGGGACCATAGAAAAATGGGAAGAAGAAACCCTGAAAATGCTCAAAATGCTCTGAAATTCAGATATTTTTTCTGAATTTCTGAATTTCTGAATTTCTGAATTTTTGAATTTCTGAATTTCTGAATTTCTGAATTTCTGAATTTCTGAATTTCTGAATTTCTGAATTTCTGAATTTTTGAATTTCTGAATTTCTGAATTTCTGAATTTTTGAATTTCTGAATTTCTGAATTTCTGAATTTCTGAATTTTTGAATTTCTGAAATTCTGAATTTCTGAATTTCCGAATTTCTGAATTTCTGAATTTCTGAATTTCCGAATTTCTGATTTCTGAATTTCTGAATTTCTGAATTTCTGAATTTCTGAATTTCTGAATTTCTGAATTTCTGAATTTCTGAATTTCTGAATTTCTGAATTTTTGATTTTCTGAATTTTTGAATTTCTGAATTTCCGAATTTCTGAATTTCTGAATTTCTGAATTTCCGAACTTTTGAATTCATGAATTTCAGAGTTCCGAACTTTAGAAATAATAAAAGCTTAATAATTTTTATTAAATAAATGAATTAATTAAAATAGCAATTTACGAATTCTGCATAACTTCTCGAACAGTTTTTTCAAAAACCGGCTCGCAAAGTTCAATTCCTGCACTTGTTAAATGGACAGTGTTGTCAGCATATGATAACAAAGTTCTCTTATCAAACGTCAAATATTTATCATCCTCGACAAAGACATGGCTCAAATCGAAGAACTGAAAAGTATATATAAATTTTGAGTCAATTGATCTCGGCTCCTGTGAAAGATATCAAAAAGTGGCCAACTGATAAAATGTATATCATAATACCAGCACCATTTATCAGTTTATCACTTTTTGATATCTTTCACAGAAAATGAATGGGCTCAAACCTACATGACACTTGTTGCACGTGATCTGCGCCAACCGTTTCTTCACAGGGCGCATCTCCTGATCCGCCAATTTTTTGTCCAAATGCAAAAATTCTAAATTATCATGCTGCGTTATCAAATGATGAAGGAAAATGTGCAAAAAATTATCATGGTACAGTGGGTGCGCATCCAAGATGTAGAGTTTTTTCACGAATCTGAAAAATGTTGAAGATTAGACCAAGGACCTAATCTTTAGGCTCTATTATCTCGTTTTCTGTGAGAGATATCAAAGAGTGGTAAACTGATAAAATAGTTATCATAATATCAGCAACATTTTATTAGTCGGCAAAGTCGTTATATCTTTTAGGGGAGCCAAGATAATTTAGCTCATAGAAACGACATTAGATCAGAGCATTTACGGTAAGACCTCATAAGCTTTGGGCAAAAGTATCTAGTTACTTGTGAGAGATATCAAAAAGTTGTCCACTAATAAAATGTTTATCATGTTATCACTAACATTTTATTAGTTGACGACTATTTTATATCATTATCAAGAAAGGAGATACAGATTCACTTGTTACTAGCAACTTACTTCTCATAAAATGCTACATTTTCATTAATCTGGCTGGCTAGAGGATCATTGTTTTGAACGGGATTCTTTATTTCTTCCATGTATCTGAAAAAATGCATTTTTAGTTTCAATTATCTGATAAATTATTCTTCATTCTTCACTTTTGAGTGTCAGAAATGCTAAAATTAGCACTATTAAACTTATAGCTTAATTATCCCGGTTCTTATCAGAAATATCAAAAATCGGTCAACTGTTAAAATGTTTATGATAGTAAGCTTAACATTTTATCGATTGACAAAATTTTGCTATCTTTTATGGGAAACGAGATAATTAAGCTCAAAGCTACCTGGTCACCACCAAAAGCACATCCGGCTTGTACAGCTCAACCTGCTGTTTTGAAAATTGCAGTGCTTGTTGGGAATCCACTGAATTGCCAGAATACAGCACATAGTTTCCATAAACCGACATGTAAATGAAATCCGAGTAGTTGTAATGGAAATGTGCTCTAATGGGCTCCACCAGATTTCTTGAGTAGCTATTTCCAATCAACATTATGGACAGTGTTCCGTTGCCGCGCTGGAAAGACGTTGTTCCGATCTTTGAGCTCCATTACCTCGGTTCCTATGAGAGATATCGAAAAGTGATCTGGTAATAAAATGTTTATCATATCACTACCAACATTTTATCAGTTGACCAATTTTTGGTATCTCTTACATGGACCGAGATAATTGAGCTGGAAAACTACTCACTCGAAACCTACAGTACCCTCCAAGGTTCTTCCTTGGAAATGGTGTCTCTGTGACGATCTCTGTGCATGGATCCTTCCAAGTGTCCGCATTCCAGAGCAATGTTGAACTTGCAATGTTTTTATCAATAATTTCTCTGGTCTCAGCCGGCAAATCGAGCTTCCAGAAGTCGTAATTTCTCACACTATACTGTAGATATGCATTTGCACCGAGGAGCAAAATGGTCAAAGGAATGATTCCACTCATTTCGAATTTCAGATATTGTTTCTCGAAAAGATGATGTAGAAGAATTGAGGTGATGAGGATGGTTACTGTAGTGGTGGGTACTGTAATTGGAATGGAGGATGGGAGACTTACAGATGCAGAAGATGTAGCTTTTGAATAAATTATCCAGAAAAATGATGACAATTGGCCAGTGCACCAAATAGAGCACATAGGAGATGTTGCCAATGTAAACGAGAGTTTCAGATTGAAATAACTGTAATTCAGGGATTTTGAAGTTTGAAGCTGGAATTGTGTGCGAAATATGGACCGTCTCCTTTGATCCAATTTACCTCGGTTCCTATAAAAGATATCAAAAAGTGGTCAACTAGAAAAATGTTTATCACATTATCAGCAACATTTTATCAGTTGACCAATTTTTTCTATTTCTTACAGGAATCAAGATAAGCTTTACCTGAACATTCGGCGCCTCACATGCAATGATCACTGCTGTGAAAAACGTCACCAATGGTCTTAGAACCAAAACGTTTAGTTCTCTTGGCATCAGACAAATTGCCAAAATGCATAATGAGACCGTCGCAATTTCCTTTGCTTCCAATGGAAATTTAATTTTTTTATCGGATTGCTCTTTTTCGGGAAGGCTCTTGCTCCGAATCTTGCTCCAAAACAGTGCACAAAATCCAGCGGAAAATTGCCAGAGTCTGAGGAACATGAAGTTGAATGCGAATTTGTCAAGGATCAGGGCAAACGTAGTGAATCCAAATACAGTGATAAGGATTACGGTAGCCAACTGAAAAACCGGGAAAATAGAAAGCCACCATTCGGATCAACTTTGAACTCAATTATCTCGGTTTTTATAAAATATATCAAAAGTTTGTTAACTGATAAACTGTTACTGATATCATGACAAATATTTTATCAGTTGACCACTTTTAGGTATCTTTTACAGGAACCGGCTCAAAGTTAGAGGTATTCAAAAACTAACTTTCAAATAATTCCTCTTCAAAATTTGCATCCCAAAAAATAGAATAGGAACAAAAAGATAAAATTGGAGCTCAAGTGATAAGGACCATAAATGAAGATAGGCATTGATAGAGGATGGAACAGCAGCAAACTGAAAATGAAGAAAATTTGAAAAATACTGTAAAACCTGTAATAGAAGGGCCCCCACACTGTCAACTTTAAGACAATTTATTTTGATTCCTGTAAAAGATATCAAAATGAGTCAACTAATAAAATATTGGTGATATTATGATAAACAATTCAACAGTTGACCACTTTTAGATATCTTTCACAGGAATCGAGATATATGTGCTCAAAGTTGGAAGCTAGAGGGCCCTTCTATTACAGGTTTTACGGTATTTATTTTCTAAACCTCATTAAAATAATCTGCTTGATCGTGAATGACAAGTTGATTAGTGACCAGACAAAGCGATGCCAAGGAGTATCGATTGTTGTTTTCCCACATAAAATCACCCAAAAATAAGTGGACCATGATAGTGATTAGAAATACGATAAGGTAGTAGAGAGGAAGAATTCGTCGAAATCTGTGATTAATTTTATCTTGGGGAGGTGTTACAGTAGGAAAAGTATTACCTTTTATAGTAAAACAAGAGGAAATCGGAGATTTTTGATATCTTAACATTTGTCAAGTTTTTTGCCATGAGAAATCCAGATATGACGAAAAATCTGAAAATTATATTTTTCGAGTCTTTCGTCCCTGTCAGCTGAGCAACGCGTTCGTGATGCTCCATACCTTCAACTTTGACTCGATTTTTTTCCGTTTCCTGTGAAAGATAACAAAAAATTGTCAACTGATAAAATGTTAACCAAAATATCACCAACATTTTATCAGTTAACAAAATTTTAATATCTCTTAGAGGAACCGAGATAAATGATTTCGTAGGAGTGGCATACTATTCACGAATTCAGGATAGTACCCCGTAAACTTTAAGCTGCCATATATCGATTCCTGTGAAAGATATCAAAAAGTGGTCAACTGATAAAATATTTCTGATAATGTGACAAATGTTTTATCAGTTGACAACTTTTTATATTTCTTACAAGAAACTAGATAAATTGGGTCAAATCTAGGAACTTTTTATCGCAATGCCTAAAACCTCTTTCTGACCTTATTTCTTTTAAGGACACCAAAATCTTCACTAAAAGGTACAATCTTTTAAAATTCATAGTAAATTAAAACTCGTAGAAAACTATAAGTGATCAGAATATCTCTAAAAATCACTGCAAAAAACCATTCATAATCGTCCGTTGTTTAAAATTTCAGAATTCCCGCCAAAACTAAAAATCCCAGGCCAGCATGCTTTCATTTTGAAACAATCTAGTCACTTCCTAAAAATATTTGTAAAAATTCAGACCTTCAATTTTGACTCTATTTTTCTCGTTTCCTGTGAAAGATATCAAAACGTGGTCAATTGATAAAATGTTTATCATATTATCACCAAAAGTTTATTAGTTGACACTTTTTAGATATCTCTTAAAGGAACCGAGATAATTGAGCTTAAACCAAACTCACATATCCACACCCAAGAATCCATTGACAAAAACGTTGGGAGCAAAATGAAATAATAAAACAAAAATGATTGCGATGCCTCGTAGACATTGTATATCTTGTCTCATCTTTTGATGCAAAAAAACAACAACTGACCACCAATTACTTGTTAGCACTTCTCTTTAGTATGGCCGTTGCCCGAAGCAGGAATTCCTGTCCCTCTGGCCATTAATGCGTAAGAGATTTAGATTAGGAAAACCCCATTGAACTGGTTTTTTGTTCTCTTTGTCTTTAGAAGGTGTTTCTTTTATTCTTTTCTAGGTGAGGAAACTGTAATAAACCGCCATGAAAGCATTATATTATTGGATTATAGGGGTCAAAGGCACCGAATTTTTTTTCTTTTTCGCGCTTTGGGACGATATGTAAATGCGCTCAAACGCGATTAAATTTGAATTTTCTTACAAGTTACTGTTGATTTGAAGGCGCACCACCAGAATTGATAACTTGTCTTCCGAAACGCTTGTATTGTGTACTCCTCTCGGACAGCTGATTTTTCGCGGATTTTCAGCAAAAAAAATGGAGAAAGCTGGTCAAACGAAGCCTCCAGATGGGTTTTGTGCTGATATTTCGCTGAACGATGTTCTGGAATGTGTGATTTTCGAGGTAGTATTCACTGACTACGGTACATTCGCATTAGAGCGTATTTACACACGACGTCCCCGGAGATAAACGAGCCGTCTTGAATTCTGACTTTGAGAAAAATTGGGCGGAGCTTGAAAGTGCGGTGAAACCTTGCACAGCTTGATTTTCAGGCTCCGCCTACTTTACCCACGGAAAAGGGCCCAAAAAGTGTGTTTTTCAGCTCTCCGAGCTCCTTTTTGGATTTCCAGATTTTTTGAATTTTTGCTAATTTCGGGTTTTTGTAATTAAGGGTTTCTAAATTTATTGGGGTTTTTTGGATCTAATGAATTCAGGTCTTTTTTTTTAACTTTTAGGAGTTTTAGAGGTTTTCTGAAATGTTTTTTGTCCATTTCTGTATTTCAGTCAATTATTTCGATTCCTGTAAAAGATATCAAAAAGTGGTCCACTGATAAAATGTTACTGATATTATGATTACCATTTTATCAGTTGACAATTTTTTGATAGATTTTTCAGAAACCGAGATAAATTGGCTCAAAATTAAGTACCGTTAATTTTCAGTTTTTCGACATCTATCTTGGTTCCTGTGAATGAAATCAAAAAGTTATAAACTGATAAAATATTGGAAATTTTATGAAAAATATTTTATCAGTTGATAACTTTTTGTTAACTTCTCCAGAAACCGAGTTAAATTGACTCAAAGTTGATCTATGTCAATTTTCAGTTCTTCGATTTGAGTCATGATGGTGATACATATCTGACATTTGATAAGAGAATTTTCTTATCAAATGTTAATTCATCTAACAAGTGCAGGAATTGAACTCTTCGAGAAATTTTGCATGATTCTTAAATTATTATTTTAATTGATAAACTTGATAAATTTTTTTAAACTTTAATTAATTCAGAAATTCGGAAAATTATATTTTTTCCTTTTCCAAGTCTAAATGTCATTTTAATAAATTGACTCCAGTAATTAGTGCCCCGAAGAAAATCTAGGTCACACCTGTCCTACTGTAATTGGTCTTTGAGGACAGATGGCTGGTTCCAATTTACATAAATCCAGAAGACGTAATGGATATTCTGAATTTTTTGAACGTCTTCTTCGTGGTCCATCAACCTTCGTCAGCTTCATTTCTCTTTTTCTCTAATGTCTCTCATTTGAAAAATCCTTATAAGGCTTTACTGTTATTCTCATTCTAGCTCCTGCCTGGCGCAGTGTGTATGTGCCTATATTCTTTTATTGACTTTTTCTGAATATTTCTATTTTTGATATTTCTATGAATCCTTAAATTCCAAAAGATAAGAATTCAACTTTTGAAACTTTGGTTGCTAACGACTTATGCACACTATGCCCATAGGTGAGTTAAAAATAATTATTTTTTGGAAAATTGTCGGTTTTAATTAAGGCTAATTATTATTAACAATTATAATCTTTCGGGACATTATGGGAACCATGTTTTACGTACAATCTGTTTACAGACGAGAGGTCCCAAAAGTTTTAAAATTATAGGTGTGCATTTATTTAAAAAATAAAGGGATGAGGTTTTTCTAGGCCACGGCCACCAGTCTCGAAATCAATTATTAAATTGGCTTAAACAGCAAAAATGATCATTAAAAACTTCAAAATCATGGTGGCCTAGAAAATCCTCTTCCATTTTTTTTTGGAAAACCTTCAAATTTTGAATAAATAAAAATGTTTTTTTTTCCAGATTCCGATCACTAAGAAAAGTTTTATTTTTATTAAAGCTTTCTTTATCTGAATGACGTGAAAATCCGAATCTAGGTCATGACCTAAAAATTAAAATCTAGGTCATGGCCTAATAATTAAAATCTAGGCTGTGACCAAAAATTCAAATCAAGGTCACGACCTAGAAATCCAAATCTAGGTCAGTACCTAAAAAGTAAAATCTAGGTCACGATCCAGAAATCCAAATCTAGGACAGTAACTAATAATTAAAATCTAGGTCATGGCCTAAAAAAGGAAATCTAGACGTAAAAATTTAAAAATTAAGTCAGTACGCAAAAATTCAAATCGAGGCCATGAACTAAAAATTAAAATCCAGGTCATGATCTGAAAATTAAAATCTAGATCTTGACCTGAAAATTGAAATCTAGGTCATGACATAAAATTTAAAATCTTGGTCATAGCCTAATAATTAAAATCTGGATCATTGCCTAAAAAAAAAGTATTGACGTGAAAATTAAAACCGAGGTCACGACCAAAAAATTAAAATCTAGGCCACGATCCAGAAATCCAAATCTAGGACAGTACCTAATAATTAAAATCTAGGTCATGGCCTAATAATTAAAATCTAGGTTATGACCTAAACATTAATTTCCGAATTTACGAATTTTCAAAGTTTTAAAATTTAAAATTTTCTAGAAATTCAGAATCTGCTTAACTCCAACAAGATAATTCTGGCTTCATCCGAATCTGGAAAATTGAAATAAATAGAAATAAATGGTCCCATCCAGAAATATTCAAAAATTTCTACAAATTTCGCGTAGAACTATTTTCAAATCGGAATCTATCTTACTTATCCAGCTCAATTTATCTAGTTTGTCTATCTTTAAAAAAAAAAAAAAATTTAAAAAAAAATAAATGATCTTCATTAAAAGTTCATTCAATTCACAAAAGTTTAAAAACGGCTAAAAGAAACAGGACACGGAAACTAAAAATTCCTGGATCCCCATTTTCTGTAGATGTCTCAGGTGTCTCGTAATCTTCATCAGTAGAGTTCCGATCCCATGGGTTGTTCTGCAGTCCAGAATCATCTGGATTCGATCCATGCGACACATCCAAATACGACGGCAATCCATAGAAGACGTCGATGTTTAGAGGTGTTTTGTCATAGATTTGAGCTTTGTAGTTATCACCTAAAAACCGAAATGTATGTTGTTAATTACCATACTAATTACCACAATTACTCCAATTGTTCTTTACAATTGCCTTCTGCTTAGTTCGCTATAACGCACAATAGAGCTCACTTGTTATCAGATTAGTGTTATTCTCAATTATCACCGCTTGATCACTTTCCACCTTCCTCCAAACTGTATACAAATCTTGAAGCTTATTATTATGGGACACATAGAGTGGAGGTTTGCTGGGATTGATGGATCTGATTGTGCCAAAATGAGGAAAAATGCTGAAGGTGCGGAGTGAAGTGTTGGTGATTGTTAAACTTCCATAAATGGTTTGAACAGCGAATAATTTGTAAGAGTTATCAAAGTCAAAGTTTTTATCAAGTAGTAGGTGTCCCACAAGGATCACACATCCATCTGATATGTTCTGGAAAATTCAATTTTCCAATTGGACCGACCACGGCGCTCAGCTGGCGCATAACTTGGCTCAAACTTGGAATCTTTGTTTGAACAAAAAACTAAAATGTAGAATTTGACAAGATCTACAAAGTGATATTTGACACAACTGTATTTAAAATGCCAGTTTTTGAACCAAAGAGCGCAATCAGCGGACGCAAACTTTACCGATGTCGCAGGCCTAGATGTTTCTCGTCTTCTAGTTCGGACTTGGACATTTGAATATAAACAGAATAGATATCATTTTGAAGATCATGTTAAGCTTTAGATTATGCTTTTTGTTTCTGACCGAAACTCTAAATTTGAGCCGAGTTATGCGTTAAGCCGTCTCAGTATGTGCTAAGAGTAGAATTTTTCTCAACGCCGTTCAAATGCGCATAACTCAGCTCAAAACTAGAATTTCCGTTTGAATTAAATAGTAAAATGTAGAGCATGACAAGATCTACAAAATGATATGTGATATGACTATATTTAAACACTGAACTTTGAGCCAGCAACCGTCAAAGAGCCATGACCCTAGAATTCGTCCCGGATAGCGTTGGCTCCTCCACAGTCTCAGTGTTCAAACCTCCGCATTTGAATATAGTTGAATTTACTATCATTTTGTAGATCCTGTCAAGTTCTACATGCTACTTTTTGATTCGAACAAAAACTCCAGCTTTGAGCCAGCCAGCGGTCGCACCCACGGCTTGCCGACCGCCATTTCCCACAACTTACACTAAAATACCCAAGTTCCGACACTTGACACCAGTAGCTAGGAGATTGCTCATCGAAACATACATCAACATCCAGATCACCTCTCTGAGTGTCTTCACCATAAAATAGAGCATCGAGCTCTTGTGGAGCTACGCAGAGCTTGGGATTGTCACGAATGGTGATACTCAATCCATTTTGTTTGGCTTGGAATTTCAGACTAGTGAGATTCTTGTTATTTTGAATAAGGATTTCAGAAATATATGAGGCTTTGTAAGAAGAATCCGCGTCAATTGTTTGGATGGATCGGAAAAATGATAGATCCACAAAATTGGTGTTGATTACAGAAATGCCTCCGTTGATTCTAGTGATGTTATCTAGCTTTTTCTGGAAACAATAAGAATGATTCTTGAAAATAAAATTTTACCGTAAGAACTGTAATAGATAGCATTTAACATTGCCTAGGTAAGAGACAACAATACACTCTAACTGTATTTGTCTCTTCAAAACTTAAGCGTCAACTTTGACCTTAATTATCTCGGTTTCTGTGAAAGGTATCAAAAAGTGGTCTACTGATAAAATGTTTATGATAATATCAAAAATATTTTATCAGTTGACAACTTTTAGACATCTTTGCGATGAACCGAGATATATAGACCCAAAGTTCTAGGTCTGGGGGAAGTGGTCGTCAGCCGACACTTGACTTTGACCCAATTTTTATCGTTTCCTGTGAAGTTTATCAAAAAGAGATCAACTAAAAAATTTTACCCATAACATCAATATTTTTTATCAGTTAACCATTTTTTATTATTTCTGCCAGAAACCGAGAAAAATTGGCTCAAAGTTGAATGTCTGGAGGGGGGCTCACATCAGGGAGCTCTCAGACCTTTATCTTTGAGCCCGTAAATCTCATTTAATGTAAGAGATATCAAAAAGTGGTCTACTGATAAAATGCTTATCATAACATTTGAAATATTTTTTTAGTTAACAACTTTCTGATATTTTTCACAGGAACCGAGATACATTGGCTCAAATATATGTGACTAAAGTACGGTAACTCACTTGCAACAAATCATAATCCGAGTTTTGGTCAACGGTAATATTTCCGACTAACATCCAACATTTTGGAGATAATGTCGATATGAACTGGTTGAAATTCCCTTTAACCGTACACCCACAATCATAAAGATTATTAGTTATCATTCGATTATTTTTATATCTAGCCATGATTCCATCACATTCATTTCTAAGGTCCAGTTTTGGATTTTGGTCGATTAGAATACTCCCCAAACACATGCTACAGTAGTCGAAATCGATTCCAATAGATGTGAGTTTTGAATTATTCGTGATTTCAATGGAATACGGAGAATCGTCTAACGGATCGGCATTGAATAGGCGCAGAAAAGATAACGACTCCAGGTTGGTGTTATGAATTCTGACTCCATGTGTGAAGAAGTCGAGATTCTTGAAAAATAACGTCAACTCTCTTGGCGTAATCTTTAGGTTTCCAGTGATATACAACGCTTGATAGAAACGGTGTTCGGGGTTTAATTCTGGTAGGGTTACTGTAGACTCATCAATGACGATATCATAATAATAGGTCAACGGACTGAATTCTGGGCTATCGGTAGGGGGTGGGCCTTCTGAAATCTTTAAATTCAGTATTACGGTTGGACCAAAATTAGAACTAAAAAAACATTTTTCACTTTTATCAACTTTTTTTAGTAAAAAATAGTCAAATTTCAAGCCCTACTAAAGTGGTCCAGAATTTTTGGATTTTTCTAAAAATTTCAGAAAACATTAAACAAATATAGAAAATCAATTTTGTAGTTGACACCTTTTTTGTGCAAATGCGCCCTAACGAGATACGCTAGTTTTCTTATGACCATCTCCCTCTCCCCCTAAGCGCCGTAACGGATAGCTGCGCGCTTCCACGTGACATATCTCCTTAGGGCGCATTTGCACAAAAAAGTTGTCAACAACAAAAATGAAGTTCTATATTTGTTTAATTTTTTCTGAAATTTTCAAACCAAGCGTACAAGTAGTAAGTACTTTTTCAGATACTCAAACTTTAGCGACTTTCTACTGAAATGGTCATTTTGGGATATAATTTGGGTCAACACTGTATAATGCAAAAGGAAACTTACGCTCACGCTCCTGAAGGGAATTTTGAAAATTTATAGCATAAATCAATAGGACTTTAAACATAGAGAGTTGAAAATGGGGGAAAAATGAAAAGAAAAAGAGTGAAGGCGTTAGACAACACCCAATAATTACTGCCAAGTGACATTTTTCATGTTATTTTGAGTTTTGATATGTCATGAAACTTTGAAATAATGAACTTTTTGAGCTTGCTCAGCAAACTTTGTTATTGGATTCTTGAAAATGGCATATGAGTAAACACTTCAATAGAATGTCACCCTCCCCCTCTCTCCAAAACCCTAAACTTTCAGCACATTTATCTGATTTCCTGTAAGAGATATCAAAAAGTTGTCAACTAACAAAATGTTTATCATAATATCAAAAAAATTTTATTAGTTGGCCACTTTTTGATATCTCTCACAGAAAATGAGATACATGGGCTCAAAGTTGAAAATTAAGGGGTGGGGGTCGTTCTTTCGGAGAGGTTACATTGGAGATTTTGATTTTTGAACTTTTTGAAAAATTAAATTTTTTTTCATTAAAATCTAACCACTAATTTTTATAGAGATTCATGAACTTGATTCTTTTAAAAATCTGGACCCTTTTTTTATCCTTTTCCTGAATCCTTTTCCTGTGTTAGCTTGAGCTCAATTATCTCGGTTCCTTTGAGAGCTATGAACAATTTGTCAACTGATAAAATAATTATCACTCTATCTCCAACATTTTATCAGTTGATTACTTTTTGATATGTCTTATAGGAACTGAGATAATTGGGCTCAAAGTTCAAGGTGTCATAACCGGGACCGCGGCCGACCACGGACTCGAATTTGAAATTCTTCGGAGCAGGTGCAAATTTCAAACTGCTATTAGGCTGGTGCCTGGCACCTGAAACAATTACCATATTTTTAAAAGCTCTCGTTCCAGGTACCCAGCTAGCTGTACGGTAGCTAGATACCTAAAAACAGTCTTGGTTCCAGGTACCACCATCCAGGTGCCCATTTCTTCAAAACAAGGTGCCTTAATCCCTCCCCTCCAAAGCGTTACCCATCCCAATTACCCTTAAATTAATTGCTTTGTTTTTGATATGTGTCTATCCTCCGCCCCCTTACAGGCACCGCCCCCTTTTCCCCCTTGTGTATGCGTATAAAAACAGTGGCAGAGCGAAATTTATCATTATATTCTTATTCCTTTCTGGTCCAGTGTGTATGGACCTCAATTTTCACTCCCTCTGATTTTCCTGGTAAGTAGTTTAAGGAAGTTTCTAGAACTATAGATTCAAAATTTCAGAAATTATATATCCTACGGGCATTTGTGTGCAGTTTTTTGCAAATTTATGCACTCAAAAGTTTCGGATCCTAACAACAACAACTCAATTGAATAATTAAATGTAAGGTGATAGCTTTTAAACTTCATATGTTTTTTAAATTCAAATTTTCAGAGAGCCAGTACCTGAGCAAGCGATCCTTATTTGAGAATATGGAAGAGTTGGCTCCATGAGCGCATGAAGCCATTGAATGTATTGTTAGCGGTCTCAAGTTTGGGCAAATTGAAGAGGATGTAAGTTTCGTTTTTTGTCTAGTTAGGACTATAATTTAAGCTTATATTATACTGATTAGTTTAAAGGGACATACTTACAGTCACTTTCATTCATTTATCTTCTAGGTTTATTCTGTGCTCATTTTTGCAATTAGTATGAATCCGGAGGAGCTGATAGACGAGGACGCTTTTGCGGGCGGAAAAATGAATGTTATTCGCAGTCCTCAAGAAGCAGATATGATGAAAAGAAGGAGCCACTTATTCCTCTTACGACCCAAGAAAGACCCCGAAACGTAAGTCAGTACTCGTTTCAGTTAGTTCAAAATAAGTCATCTTGCAGGGATCAAACCAGTTCCTCGTTCTGGCGGAGCCAACCCGCTGGTGGTTAGTTTTTTTTTAATGAAAATGGGCCAGTGGATCTCGGTGCGATTCCCAATGTGGCAGTTGTTAATCTAGCTTACCTCTCATGGAAATCAAATTTTTTATTTTTTCGAATAATGAGAGAAATTTCAGGCCATGAACGTGTTGTGTTTTTTCCGGAAAATCGCCATGACTACTGTAGATTACTGTGAATATCTTCTTCAAAACTTCACATTTTTTAGAACCTTCTGATGAAGTCCAAAGCAAGTAGTGACGGGCAGACTGTCTTCAAAAAAGCTCGTCGTGTGCCTCGTCGTAACATCTTCCAGAGGAGTCGTGGAGCTTAGATCAGGTAAGATTATGTGGATTACTGATTACTCAAAAAAGCTCGTCTGGTTCCACATCTTCAAGAGGATTCGCGGAGCATGTCGATGGGTGAGGAGCAGTCTTTCAGGGTAATATTGTTCTAAAATTTTCTGTTTGCAGGCAAGAAAGAGAATCCTACGAGAAAGAGACCAAATCATCAACCTCGATCAAGGCAAGCTTTCAGTTTCATAGTCTTTTGTTGGAATGACTACAAACATCATCAATAATCTAATATTTTACAGAAGACGTTACTTCCCAGTTCTCGTCCATTCTTCAAGAATAAAAACTAACAACATCGGAGTGCTCACCAAGACAAGTCGGTCGACATGAAAAACATAATTCTTTCTATCCCTCCTTTACCATTTTACCCCAAATGTCTGTTTTCAAATTTGAAATTTTTAATAAATTAATTATATACAGTATCCTGTGATTCAAGTAAAGTGGGCGGGGCTAAATACTGGTATTTGCGTTGTTGTTCACAAGAAAAGCTACTCAGACATGTTGCTCTGAACTTGATGAGAGATCCCATATTCTGATTTTCTCGAAGTAGTAAAACCGAAAGAGACTACTCAGAACTTCTTCAGAAATCTTGAGATCTCGGGAATCGTTGTCTTTTTAGTGGATCACCTATGCCGCGCGGATGCTCCAGAACCTTCGAGAACCTTCGGAAAAACTAGGTCATATCTGTTCTAGTATTATGGCTCTTTAACAAGAACAGATGGCAAAATCCCAAGAAACAAAGCAATTATGTCTACTGGTATCATTTTCAGAAAGCGAGATAAGTCGGTTCAAAGTAGCAGGGAGAGGCTTCTATGCCAGGCAATTAGGGTCGCTCAACTTTGACTCAATTTATCTCGGTTTCTGTAGAAGGTATCAAAAAGTGGTCAATTAACAAAATATTTATCATATTATCAGCAACATTTTATCAGTTGACGACTTTTTGATATCTGTCAGAGGAACCGAGATAAATTAGCTAAAGTTGAAAATTTCCTGATGAGGTTGAAGATTTGACACAAAATTTTGCATAAAAAGTGCAAAAAAAAAGAAACTAGGACAAGTGATACGTGGCGACCTGTATCTTGATGACGTGGCATTTATGCACACCGCCCGTCTCCAGAGACTATCCCTTCAGTCTTCTCCTAAATTTTCTTGAATTTCCGATTTTCTTTTGCTAATTTCCAAAATTTCCACTTTCCATTGCATTTTCATTAAATTCTAGCTGTTATTTTCCCGTTTTTGTCTTTTTTCACTGCAAAATTAGCTGATTTTTACAGTTTTTTCCTTTCTTTTCTAGCACTACTTTGAGCTCAATTATCTCAATTCCTGCATGAGATATAAAAAAATTGTCTACTAAAAAAATGTTTATTATAATATCAGAAATGATTTTTCAGTTGGCACATTTTTTAATATCTTTTATAGGAACCGAGATAATTGGGCTTGAAGTGCAAGGCGCGTTCTGTGAGCACTCCGCTGCTCCGTCGAAACTTTCACCACTCTTATCACAGTTTTTAAGCTTCGCGCGCGCTCTCCACCACCATAGCCTCCCTGGCAACGGCGCTGACTATTAATCGAGAGGTCGCTGGTTCAATTCCACCCCTCTTTAAATCTCTTTTGCTTTTTGTGAGGAGCATGGGAAGTTTTTTTGTTTTACTCAATTAGAAATTTTTTCGGTAGTTTTGAAAAAATTATTTTTGATCTACCTTATTATTCTGCTCTACGCCTTCTTTCCCAGCGAGAACAAAGAGACACACAAACATTTTCTTGTCCCCTATCATCTTCTTCTTCTTATGCCCTCGACCGTTTGACAGGTTGCTCATCGTCTCCTCTGTCCCATGCACTATTTCCTCTTCTTCTTTTTACCCCTCTCACTGTCTGCGCCTCTGTTCTCCTCCACGCTATTGGGCACTCTCTCTCCTCCTGTTCCGTTTTTTACACCGTTTTTTGCCACTTCTTATTCCATTTTTTTTGCAAAAAGCTTCAAAGTACAGAATTCAAATTTCGCGGGCTTTTTTATCGACTTTTTAGTGTGGGCAAATAAAGTATTAGATAAGAAAAGATGGTGAAATAAGAGTGAGCAATTTGGTTTTTCTTTTCCTTTTTTCAATTTCTTCTCCTTTTTTTTCAAATTTCCGGCCAAAATTAAAGCCTCTTTTTCCAGGTTGTCTCTCAGAAAAATGACGGAATCCTCATCACCGGAATTACCCCGAAAACTTCGCCATGGATTCATTAAATTGGAATTTCCGGAATCGACGAATTCGAGAAAAGAGATGGAAATTGTTATTGGCAAATTGTTAGCTGGTCTTCCGGAGGTGAATTTGATTTTTGGGATTTTAGGATTTTGAAAATTTTAGGATTCTGGGAGATTTTAGGGATTTAAAGAATTTTTGAGCCGTTTCGAATTTCAAAACTTTTAGGATTTTAAGAGATTTATGACTTTTACGATGTTTAGGATTTTCAGAATTTTTGGAATTTTAGGGTTTTAAGAGTCTTTAAAATTCACAGAATTTTAAGAATTTTAAGACTCCTGGGATATTCGAAATTTTTAGGATCTTAGGGTTCCTAAGATTTTTGGGTTTTTATGAATTGTAGAGTTTTAGGAGGGTTTTCAACTTTCCCTAATTCCAAAAACTTTGCAGTCTCTTCAAAGATATGGAATACAAATCGAACGAGAACATCCGATGCAAGTGGTCCAAGAAGAAGATTGTGATGCGTGTTTTGAAGTGAATTATGAAGTGACTTGTGAGGAATTCAAGCATAATATTATCAATGCAATGCAACGATATATGGATGGATGGGTTCGTTTTTTTTAGGAGATTTTCGGAAATTCCGAAAATTCGAAAATAAGAAATTCAGAAATTCAGGAGTTCAGGATTTCAGAAATTCCAAAATTGAAAACTTCAGTGATTCAAAGACTCGAAACTCTGATATTTGAAATTCTGAAATTCTGATAAACTGAAACTTTGAAATTCAGGAGTTCAAAAATTCAGAAATTCTGAAATCCTGAAGGCCTGAAATCCTTGAAATCCTGAAATTCAGAAATTCAGAAATCCTGAAGTCCTGAAGTCCTGAAATCCTTGAAATCCTGAAATTCAGAAATTCAGAAATCCTGAAGTCCTGAAGTCCTGAAATCCTTGAAATCCTGAAATTCAGAAATTCAGAAATCCTGAAGTACTGAAGTCCTGAAATCCTTGAAATCCTGAAATTCAGAAATTCAGAAATCCTGAAGTCCTGAAGGCCTGAAATCCTTGAAATCCTGAAATTCAGAAATTCAGAAATCCTGAAGTCCTGAAGTCCTGAAATCCTTGAAATCCTGAAATTCAGAAATTCAGAAATCCTGAAGTCCTGAAGTCCTGAAATCCTTGAAATCCTGAAATTCAGAAATTCAGAAATCCTGAAGTCCTGAAGTCCTGAAATCCTTGAAATCCTGAAATTCAGAAATTCAGAAATCCTGAAGTACTGAAGTCCTGAAATCCTTGAAATCCTGAAATTCAGAAATTCAGAAATCCTGAAGTCCTGAAGTCCTGAAATCCTTGAAATCCTGAAATTCAGAAATTCGGAAATTCAAGAATTCAGAAATTCAGAAATTCAGAAGTTCAGAAATTCAGAAATTCAGGAATTCAAGAATTCAGAAATTCAAGAATTCAGAAAATCGAAAATTCAAAAAATCAGAGTTTCAGAAGTTCAGAAATTTTGAACATCAGAAGTCCGGAGAACGTTAAACCTTTGAAATTCTAAAATTGTCAAATTCAGGAGTTCTGAAATTCAGAAATTCAGAAATAAGAACATTTAGAATTTAAGTAATTCAGAATTCTTCACAACTGAGAAATTGTGAAATTCTGCAATTCTGAATTCTTCATCTTCTTCTGATTTTTATTCTGGAAAAACAATGCATTTTCTCGAAAAATTCCAAAGACCAAACAACCGAGTAGACCCGGATTCTTGTCCTAAAAAAAAATGAAAATTTCAAACTTTTCAACAAAATCAGAATCCCAGAGTCTTGAAATTCTTATTTTCCAGCGCCACTGCGTCGCCTACGCCAAACCGACGATTCTCCTGCACAGTCTCGACTTTTGGAGAACGACATTACACCTGCAAGTCAATGACGTCCCACTATCGGCCATCTATTTCGGAAATATTCAAGGGAACGCGTTCATCAATCATTATGAAGTGTCGTTTTGGAAGGAGAACGAGGGAAAATCGATTCGACGAAAAACGCCAATGAACAATATTACGGTGGATTTTGAATTTGACAAATGCGACATGATTTGTGTCAATTTTCAATGCGTTCAAATTGAAGAGGATCGAAATGCGAATGCGGGTGGTGATAAGAGAAATCAGTTCAATAAGTATGATAATAAGAATCAGAAGAAGATGAAGAAGATGACGGTTAATTATCAGGTTACGGTAAGTCTGGGAAGCTGATGGAAAGTGGGGGGAAAAATTGATGATACCGTAACTTTGAGCCAATTTATCTTGGTTCCTATGAGAGATGTTGAGAAGTGGACAACTGATAAAATGTTTCTGATATTATGATAAAAATTTTATCAGTTGACTACTTTTTGATATCTTTCACAAAAAATGAGATAAATTGGGTCAAAATGTGGCGGCCCTAAAACCCTGGCGTCGAAGAGTGGTCAATTAGTGAAATGTTTCTGATATCATGATAAACATTTTGCCGATAGACCACTTTTTGATATCTTTCACAGAAAATGAGATATATTGTTGAAAACACGATAATTTTGAAATTTCTAATGTTTTTGAACTTCCGGGAATTTCTGATTTTTAAGAATGTCAGTATTTTCGAAATTATGAGTTTTCTGAAATTTCGGAATTTGGAATTACTGTATTTTCGAAATTTCAGAAATTTTTGGGCTTTCTGAACTTCTGTCATTTCCAGGTCCGCTCCATTTCGATCCGTCGAATCATTGTCGACACCAATGTCACCGACCGGTACGGTGACCGTACCCGTGTCCATTTCGAACTCAACTGTCCACCACTCATTCGTAAGGGAATTATCAATGCAGACCATGCTGATAATCCATATGTAAAACCATTTTATCAGCGATGGAAGGTTATCAAAAAGGAATGGGATGGGCATGGATGGCCAAACGAGGCAGCAATCTCGGATAGCCCCATTTTTACGGTGGATTTTGATCCTATAGTTCAGGTGCGCAATTTTTGGGTCCCTACAAAAGTGCTTCAAATTTTTTCAAACTTCCTGAAAATCTAAGATTAGTAATTGACAATTTTTAGATAAAATTGAACCCTGGAGCACTACAGTAGGTTTTTAGAGGGCGCGACAAAGCTCTAGAAACATTGTCAAAACTCCGAAACCCCCCTAAAATCTATTTTTCCAGAACTTTGAACTCCATCGCATCTTGTCACGTCTTCGTGTCCGTACTGGTGTCTCTATTGAGTTTGGCATGCTGCCAGCAATTAGTGTACCCATGTGCAAACGATGGCCATACCATCGATGGACCATCAAGGATGGCAAGCAGTTGGCAGCGGCGGATACGGATGCGCCGATTTTTAGAGATTTTTTGGCGGATGTGAGTTTTTGGGAGGGATGCGGTAGATGGTGGACTAGAACGTCACCTAGGTGGGTAGCCGAATATTGCGATTGCATAGCTCGGATCTGAGCTTGATTATCTCAGTTCCTGAAGGAGATATCTAAAATTTACAAACTACAAAAATGTTAAAAATGTTATGGCAATCATTTTATTAGTTGACAAGTTTTTGATATCTCTCACAGGAATTGAGATAATCGAGCTTAAAGCAAGCGGCTGCGCTAAGCGGTGGGCACTGTTGTACCTGCACACTTTCTGCCCAATTCTCTCGTTTGCTATAAGAGATATCAAAAATTTGTTAACTGATAAAATGTTAATGAATTTGTGATAAACATTTTATTAGTTAAAACATTCTTGCTATCTCTTATAGGAACCGAGATAATTGAGCTCAGATTGCAAGTACAGTATAGCTCGCCGCTGAGCTACGCCGTCGAGGCTTTAGCTACCCATGTTAGGGGGGACCTTGAGAAAATTTTTTGGACTTTTTGAATTTTTTTGATTACTGATTAGCTTAGAACCCTTATAAAAGTACCTCGCTCTTCTGGGATTTTCATGGCTTATTTGAATTCTTGCAGCTTTCGAGTATACCATAAACACTCTATCAGAATGACCTCTTTTACATTGAACTTTGAGCTCGATTATCTCAATTTCTGTGAGAGATAGCAAAAATGTGACATCTAACAAAATGTAGGTAGTATTCTGACAAACATTTTATCAGTTGGCACATTTTTGCTATCTCTTATAGAAATTGAGATAATTGATATCAAAGTAAAAGGATAGTGTGGTGCGTCGCTGAGCTACGCGGTCTTTAAAACCTCAAGAAGGCATGGACTTTCTTGGAGATCCTTAAGCATAAAAAAACGTCTACTTACAGCTATTCCCCAAAAAATTCGAGGTCAACGACGACGACAAACTCATCGATGTGAACGATGAGCGAAAATTCTCGATCACCTACCTCATCGAATGCCTTATCTCGCGTGGAGCCGTCGTCAAGGATCAGATATTGCTCGACGAGCAGCACTGGCGAAGTTTCCTGGGTATCATTTGGCGATATTACAAAGTCGATGACAAGTTGTGCGAATCGGCACTCGAGGATTTGATTCATTTGGTGGATGGAAGGAAGAGGATCGGATCGATTATTAAGGTAAGTGTCGGAAGCCTCATAGTCTCTGGATCCCGAACACCCTAAATTATTCCAGTGCTTTGACAAAATCTGCCAAAAACGACAACGAATGCAACTGATCAATTGTCTATCCGAATCAGAGATCCGATCTGGCTTCCAACGAGTCCGAAAAGTGATTTTCACCCCGACACGAGTCATCTACATCTCGCCAGAAACAATTATGGGGAATCGTGTGCTCCGAAAGTTTGACAAGGACGGCACTCGAGTGATTCGTATCACGTTCCGTGATGATAACAACAATCAAATGCGCGCCAACGACACTGGAGATCTTCTGGAAATGACGGCAAACAAGTTTCTTGGAGAAGGAATTCGAATTGCGAATCGTGAATTTGGGTTTCTAGGATGCTCGAACTCTCAAATGAGAGACAACGGGGCGTATTTTATGGCCAAGTACTCGCAGAGTCAGTTGGAGAAGTTTTTGAGGACACGACCCAATGAAGCACAGTTGAAGGCGTTTAAACCACGAATCATGGAAGTTAGGAAGCATTTGGGAAAGTTTGACAAGTTGGAGAATATTCCAAAGTTGATGGCGAGAATGGGACAGTGTTTTACGCAGAGTCGGGTGAGTAATATGAGCCAACTTTGAGTCAATTTATCTGGGTTCCTGTAAGAGATATCGAAAATTTGTCAACTGATAAAATGTTGCTGGTAATATGATAAACATTTTATCAGTTGACTACTTTTTGATATCTTTGCCATGAACCAAGATAAATTAAGTCTAAGTGGGCGGGGCTTAAATTGCCGAAAATGAAGGACCCCCACCCGATCATGATTGAAGCCAATTATCTCGGTTCCTGTCAGCGATATTAAAAGTTTGTTAACTGATAAAATGTTGCTGATAATGTGATGAACATTTTATCAGTTGACAATTTTGTGATATCTTTTACATTGCCCGAGATAAATTGGGTTAAAGTGGACGGACCATTACTTCGAAATTTCGAAGAATGCTCGGACCGCGGCTGACCGCGTATCCAATAGAATTTCCGCATTTTCAAGCTATTACCTCAAAAACCTCAAAAATCAAAATTTTTTTTTCCAGCTCACTGGCGTCGAGCTCAATCGATCGGACTACATTCGAATTCCCGACTTTGAAGGTGGAAAAAATCTCGCCGGCAAACCATACACATTCTCCGACGGTGTTGGAATCATGAGCTATCGATTTGCGCAAAAAGTGGCCCATGCGATGCAGATGGGAAATTCGGTGCCCAGCTCGTTTCAGGTGAGCTCTTTTTTTTTTTTCTCGGACCTTACTCATATATTTCTTCAGATTCGATTCCGTGGCATGAAGGGAATGATTGCGATCGATCCGTACATGGACCTCATCCATCAATGGAACGTCAGTTACGATATCCCATATCAAGTTCCGAATTTAGAACTGAAATGTGCATTCCGACCGAGTCAGATCAAGTTCGAGGCCAAGTCGTTGCCGGGCGATCAAATCGAAATGGTCAAGTACTCGGCGCCGGTGATGGTGGCGCTTAACAAGCCGTTCATCAACATTTTGGATCAAGTCTCAGAAATGCAATCGTTGGAATGTCATAAACGAGTTACGGGAAGGGTTGAGGAGTTGATGGATCGGCAGATTTTGTCGTTTGCCAGACAGATGAATGATGAAACGTACTGTAGGAATCGGTTGAAGGTAAACATTATCAATTTGAAGCCAACTGCGACTCTGAAGCATTTTCAAATCTAACATCAAAGTGTTTGCTGCAAAATGCCACACATTTCTGTCTAAATTTGAAAATTTGAGCTTGCCTAGGAGTCCAGATACATTGCTTGACTAGAAGCCCACCCTATAGGCGCACTTTGAGCTCATTTATCTCGTTTTCTACGAGAGATATCGACGTTTTTTCAACTGATAAAATGGTTGCCATCAGGCCTGTGCGGCAACAAATTGCCGATTGCCGAAATTACCGAAATTGCCGAATTTTCGTTGCCGATTTGCCGTTGCCGATTTCGGCAATTTCGGCAACTGAAATTTTTTTTTAATTTAGAGATTTTCACAATTTTTTTAGTCAAAAAAATGATTTCGAAGTTCGAAAAATCAAATTTTGAACACCATCATCCCTCAGAGTGAATTTTAGAGGAAATGTGTCCCAATAATCATCAAAAAATACTTGCATCGGATCTAAAAATGGGCTTTAAATTTGTGAGCATAGGAGAAAAATACCTAGATATCATGAGTCACAACTTATCAAAAAAATTATCCAATCTGTCTCAAATCTCTAGGGAACGTGTGTCGTGAGTTGCCTAACAAGTTGAGCGCGCTATTTTCAAAACTCACAATCGGAACAAATATTTTCAACCATTGGAATACCCTCTATTGCTAATGGGGTTTATCATGTAGCGAAAATATGTATTGAAATGCATTTCCGCGCCCTCGAAATTCAATGCATGAGCGTCGCGAAATGTATTTCAAAGCATTTCGCGACATAACTGTAAATGCATTTCA